GTATCCTGGGACACCAAAGAATAGAAATATGCATTGTACTCCTCAGCTGCCGAACCTGCAAGATATTTAGTACACAAAATCAGTCTAGTGAACAGTTCTTTCCCTTCTGTAAATGAAATTATTTAGTTTTAAAGGTTTGAAAGTTCTTTTCCTCCCTTTTGGACTAAGGGAAAAAAAAAGAGCTTTAAAACTGAGACATGTTCTTGACTGAAAAGAGATCAAATAAATCAATTCTTAAAGATGAACAGAAAAATATCCAAACAGTTACAACATGAGACCCAGGGGTGTACAAGTTCTTATGAACAGAAAAAAAAATGGGGGGGGGGGGGGCTGAGCGGTCTTGAGGCATGGCGTCCACTTTGAGTTCTGGAGGTCCTGGTTTCAGGCTGAGATTTTTTTATGTGAATTTCTAGTTATTTACCCTGGTCTCTGGGTTGTAAAATTAGACACCCGTGCACACGTAAAACATCCCTTGGCAGTTGAAAAATCAAAAATAATAGCCTAATGCAATGCCCAGGCACAATTTTGAGTTAAAAATCTACCTAAAGTATTTCAGGATCCTCGCTGGTGCTACAGAGTGCACTGCACTAAGATTCTTCGGACTCAGGCTTGAATTAGAAGTAGAATTGAGCAATTATGGGTTACCACCCCTGTACCATGATGTTGAACTGTTTTTTGAACAGAATAAACAGGATGAACAGAAAAAGCAAACATTTATGAAAAACGACTACACGTGCACAAATGAAAAATTAAGACATAAGTAGACCAAAGGAGAAATGGTAAGAAAGGAGCAGTGTAGTGATATTTACAAACTGAACATCAGTCTTAGAACTCAATAACATGATGATGTTGAATAAAATAAGTTGCCAGCCTGACATCTCCAAAAACCTGCACCTGCTGCATTAAACATATTTTCTTGTCTACATCTTGGTATAATAAGATTCCACATTTCAAATTCTGTACTGACAAATTGTATATATGTTGTGATTCTATTGTAGTACTCCAGGTTAACTCAAGCTAAGGTGGCATTAAATATTTCAGGCAACACTGCTCCTTCTCTCTGTTAAACTTACCTTTCTTAGCTCTGAGAATGCGACCCAATCTTTGTGCCTCCTGTCTGCGAGAGCCACCATGAGCTGAAATCTGGATAAGCACATTGGCCTCAGGTAAATCAAAAGAGGTGTCAGCAACCTGTAGATAAATTCACTTATGAGACCATTTTTTCCACATAAAAACTACATACTGAACAAATGAATAGAGAATTGACATCACTGCTAATAATGAGGGTACTGCTGGGGTGACCGTTTATTAACCCTCATATAATTCTTCCGGTCAAAATGGACGCTAGGTACGGCCACCTTTTTTTTTTTTTTTTTTTTTTTTTTAAGCCGTGGCAAATATTTTTCCAGACGGTGGCCGTTGCATTTTTGCTCCATTTGTAGACTGGAAGGATGTAGTTTCGTCGCCCAGCTTCTGAGTTGAGTGCATGGCGTGACACTGTGAGCTGCGTTTGTTTTTCGTTGGCACAGGAGCGGAGCATGTGTGGGGTGACCCGTTTGCTATGAAGCTGAAACTAGGATTACCAGATTACCAGACATCACTGCATTCAGGACTTCCCATTCATGTTCCGTCCCCTTATTCAGTAGCCAACAAAGAGTTTCATGCTGATGGTGCCAGTTGCAACGTGATTAAACGTTTGCCTGTTTTTCCCCTGCGGACAGAAAATCGTCCAGACCATCTGCTCACTTCCAGCTGAATCATTCTCTTTAAATATGTATGCTCAGTCTGTTCTGCTGTACTAATACTGTTAAGTGTTTATCATCCAGAGGAGCAGCAGCAGCTGATCTATCGACCTGCTCATTGCCACGCACACTTGAAATTCTACAATATGCTTCTTACAAGTCATTCCAAGCTAAAAGCTAGACAAGTGGTAAAGTTATGAAAACTGTGACTGCTCCATCTGTGCTCATACAGCTGGTTAAACTGAACTTTTTGTCAGCCTGAGGTTCTATGCATTAAATTAATCCTTTTTTTTTTTGGATGGGGGGGGGGGGGGGGGGGGGGGTCCCCTAATTTGTGACTATCCTTTCCTGTAGGGCAAGGACCCAGAACAGGAAAGAAAATGGCCCTTTAATTTATTATGTTTAGTGATCAGGAATGTCTGCATTGCTAGTTTGTTGTTTTATGAAAGTGGTGTCACCATATTTCATTGCGTGTCATTATTTATAACAGAAATGCATCACCCTCTTTTCTGTAACGCAGCAAGTGGTTCAAATTCCACCATATGCATCCTTTGTGCATGGTCTCCCTTTCCTGTTAGTATAAACAGTTTCTACAGCTTGATCAAGCATCATACATCTTGCCAGAATGTTGGAAACTTTACAATTGTGTTGTTGCAATGATGACATACAAACCTTTGACACAAAAATTGTGTTGACTTTTGGGTTGTGTTGAAAGTTTTGCAGGATCTGAAGTCTTTCATTCTGACTTGTTGGTCCATACAGATATGGTCTGTTAAAAAAAAATAATAAAGAGATTACTAATCTGTAATCACGTTAATGTAATAACTATGTAAAAAGTATCCGAAAATGCATACAGAATTGTAATTCTTTTTTTTTAACCCTCAATGTTAGAAAATGTGCAAGTATTTTACATTCGATGGTAGCAGCATTACAGATTACTGTTTAGCACATTTATGAAGCATTGTGTACACACACAAAAACGAATTCATTTTTTTTAGACATAATGTAAATGTTTCTGTGACCTCACAAGAAGATGGTCAAATATTTTTAAAATGTACCAATCTCAAGTTGGATTTTAAAAACATAGTATCAGTGCCTGGCATCTACACTTGTGTGTATGTATGTGTGGTTGGGTAAAGCAGTAATCGCAGAATATATTAGACAACTCAAACATTAAACAGCTCTAACAAAAAAAAGTAAAGATCCCTTTTCATGCCTTGGGGCGTATCGGGCATATGGGAAGAGCATCCTATATTTCTAAAGACCATCAGCACTAGGTATGTAATGTGGTCAGCATTACGCCGGCCATCTTTACTTCCCAGGACAACCATCCCAGTACCCATTTTAGGCTGGGTCAAACTGTGACACCTCATACCATGATAAAAATCCATACAGCCAGAAGTGGGTTTCGATCGTGGTCGGACTCTCAACGCCTAAGCCATGGACGCCACAAAAAAGTTTAGGCATATTGGATTATACAGATGGTTTAATGGGTTCCATTAACCAAAGTAAATAAAAAAAGTATTCTCATCATCATCATGTGCCCTGCCAACTGGCATAGGCGCTCATGCGTCTCCACAGATCACGATCCCTGATTGCCTGAAACAGCTCTCTTGATATCTAACCATGCCATCGTTTCAGCCCATCCAGCATCATCTCTCTTGGTCTGCCTCTACCCTTTTTCCCCCTGATCTTTCCAGTTAAAAAAGTATCAGTGCAACTTATTATGCATGTTTTAAGAGGTTAAGAAAGAATGATTAAGTAAAACAGTCTAGACCATCATGTAGAAAATTTGCTGCAAGACCCAAAAATTATCAACAAGTTTTTAAAGGGCTTGACTTGGCTGAGGGTCTTTGTTCCATCAGGAGACAAGAGGCAGATGGCAGATGAAGAAAGGGAAGACAGTAGAGGTTAACTTGTCATCTCTCTAAAGCAATGATAGTACAAGAAGGTGACAGATAATGTGCAGCATCTACAATATTGTACTTTTTCTGTATCAATTAATATCTACTTTCTCTATGTCCTACAGAAGTTCCCTTAACTCTCTGAGTCCAAGTAGGTTCAGCATCACAGGCCCAAGGGGTAGTAAAAAGAGACACAAAATAGGTGCAACATGCATTAATTGGGCTTCTAGGTAGGAACCTATGAAGGTATGAAGTGTTCCTTGTGACACAAAAGAGTTAATTACTGAAAGACATGGTATTTCCATGGAAGGAAACAGAACTCTTACTTGTTCAGTTTAACAGCGTAGTGTTTCAGGGCAAACACATTGTCGGAGAAGACTATAACCTTATCATTTCGGCGTTCATGGTAACGGATGAGATACTGACATGCTCTGAATTTGTTTGGATTCATGGTAGACAAGAGCTGAAATTACAACAAACAAAATACACAAATAGGGTGTCCACAAAGTTCTAAACTTGCTTATAACACTAATAAACTTTTTTTTTTTGAGCATATCAGTGTGAATAGTCTAAGCATACGCTTCAAAGCCAAAAGTTTGGCCCTGGCTGCATTATTTAGTGTACCCTTGAAGTCTCCAGCTGACCATATTTGATATCTTTTAGTGTAGGTGTACACTGGCTTGCAGATTGGGCTTGGTTTCCTTGACATAGATGTCAAAATCAATCCACTTGTGGTCACTTGATGAATGTGACACATTGTATTATGTATAATTTTTCTACTGCAATCATTTGATGGTATTCTGGAAACCACAATCATTTTCTCATCTCCCTTGTGATAGGTTGTCTCTGATGATATGTCTGACAATGATAAATCATATTTAACACTATAACTTAAATATATATATATATATATATAAAAATGAAAACACGACAGAAGAAAAGGAAATCATATGCTTCAGTTAGCTGGACTTCAAGCTCACTTTCCATTAAATTCCAGTGAAATGTGACTAAAAAGGTTAACAATTTTGGACGCTTTTCTGCTTTCCCATTTTGTTGAGCTTTTTAGTTACATTTCACTGGAATTTCTTGGTGTTAGCTTGACTGCAGTCACCCTCATATTTTCATCATTTCCCATTAGAAAGTCCATACTCAAATCTATTAGCTTGACTTTCAAGAGATATTTACTGTAAGCTGGTTTTCATGGCTCCAATCTGTGCATACACTATAAAGACATAATGTGTACTATATATACATGTGAAATTTTAAAAAAATCTTTAAAAATAGGATATTTAAAAAGAAGATGTGAAATAAAATGTAATCAATTACAAATGACTATTTACTACTATAGACATACCAACTTCCTCTGAGATTTCATTACAAGGTATTCTCTGTAAAATTCTGGAGACATGGGACACCATACCTGAAATGGATAAAGCATACAGAAATATTATTCGTAAGAAAGAAATTAACAAAAATGGGAGGCTTACAAAAATCAAATATTAATTTCAGGAGAGAAAACGGATCATGTTACAAGAAAATGGGTGATTTATTTACACATTTCTGACTCTAGTTTCTAACAGCCACCGAAGAACAAGTATGTAAAGTAAAGGATGCCTTCTCATGCCATGGAGCTTAATGGATATATAAACAGCGCTAGCTCAATACTTTTAGACTTGGTCAGCACTCATTAGATAATATGGTGAATATCATAGACTGGACTCTTTTCTCATATATAAAGTACCGAAAAAATTTAAGCTTAGCTTACATTTATATCTGAACAAAGAAGACACAAACAAAAACCTTCACAATTTATTGCCTAGCATATTTTGATACATCTTGACAGGTGCACATTGCAGTAGCAATTGAATAAAATGATTAAAATCAATGAATCCATTAAAACTGAAACATGAAATCAACCACACTCAAAAGTAACTGCCTGTTTTACTAGGGCAAGTTCCTTCAAAGTCGGAGTGCATCTGCCTGAGAGGCGAGGAATGAACAGTCTGTATTTAAAAAAAGTCGGATCTTTTAAACGGATGTAACCAGAACCATCTGCCGGAGTTTACAGCTGATGAATAAGAAGAAGAAGACCAGGGCAAGTTAGTGCAGTCTTTGTTTAAATTTACAATGCAGAAACATTGTTTTTATTCAATTATACTGATAACTAATCTCACCTCAGCGCACTGTACACGGGCAATATAGCCCAAGTTCTGCAGTTCCATCCAATTGGCCTCATACAGTTTTGGACCAATCAAAAAGTTGAGATCTGCAATTTTGTCATCCTCTCTTACCAATGTGGCTGTCAGCCCTAATTTACAGTGGGCATTCACTGTTGTCAGGACTCTGCGAAACATCTTGGCAGGAATTGTCTGCACCTCTGAAAGACATAAGTCACAGGAACTGATCATGAGCTGCAATTACAATGAAGTAATTTAAAGAAGAAATGGTAGGTGAATACATTCTTACATAGAATAACTAAAGTAATCAATAGCTTTCTTTATTTATATTTCACTACAGGTTGGTTGCGAGTGTAAAGCCATCAGGTGTATAGTATAACCTTCCGTTCGGATGGGTTTTCTCTCTCCTTTACATGTTGAGGTGATACCCTTTATTTAAATTCAAGCTGATTCCTTTCAGTGCATCTAGACATGTTATGACTATAAAGCTTTTAGTATCAGATTGTACCTGTGCTGAACATTTGCATGCCTTATTTGCCCATATCTTTGAATCAGATCTTCAAGGTCACATTTTAAAATTCCTAACTGTGGATAAAGAATGTTCTTTGGATTATGGCCATCTAGCATGCAGTACACATTACCTTCCTCATATGATATTAGCAACCCTTGGGAAACAAACAGCCATAAATACTTTAATGTTTTTACACACAAGGCAATGCAGAATATGATAAAGTTATTTCCCTATGGTAAACAGACTAAAATTTCTTCTTCACATCTATAGATTGTTTTGCTACATAGTTAAACAGGAGAACATATATAATAAAACAGCCTACCAAATTTAAAAAACACGAAATTTCACTGAACATGAATCCTACCATCCAAGACCATCAAGCCCCACTCCTGATTTTGTAGCCACTCCATCATTTTTTCTGCTTCCCATGAGCGTTTGGTAGAATGGGCCAGCATAGAATATGTACTAATACATATTGCACAACCTGTGAAGAAGGGGTGAAAATTGATGATAATGATGATGAAAACTTGTCATCTGCAAATGTCAACAATTCATTCATTATCTCTTTGACACTTAGATACAGAGAAAACTGGTAAGGGTATTTCTATTTTGTGTAACTATATACACGGGAGTCGTGTGGCGTATCAGAAGGTTCATGAATTCAAATCATTTTTTGAAAATAAAATGGCCATGGCTCCCAGCACTCAAATGGGTATCAGATAAAGCCCTGTGAAGTAAAGGCGGCCGGTGTGATGTTGTCCACATCACCCATCGAGTGTTGATTGTCTATAAGATATAGTTCTAGTGCTTTATGGCCAATACCCCTAAAGGCGTGGGGAAAAAGGGTCTTTTAACAAATTTTTTAAACATGCACAAAGACTTGCTTAACCAATGCCAGGGAAATGTTACAAAGAATCAAAATTCTACCATAAATACCAATAATAAAGTACCAATTTGGAATATTTAACAGGTTTTAACATTAAATAACTATTAATCTAACTGGCTTGAAAGATTAATTTAACAGGGTTCTGTTTTAGTGTAGTGGCTAGTACCCTTGCCTGTCAGACTGAATGTAAAGTGTTCAAATCTTAACTGAGGCAGGGATATTTTAAAAGGGAGCTGAGGTTCCCAAGTAGATCTAATCTAAAGGGTACCAGAAAATTCTTTGGAGGTAAGACTGTCAGCATGACACTGACCATCACACCCTCTGAGTACTGACTGTATCACAAAAATTTAACACTAGCACAAAGAAGGGGGTGAGAGAATGGTGTATACGACAAGGAGATTGAGCCACTCGATCTCCGTGTGAGTTCCGGAACCCTTTTTAGAGGGGAAAAGAACAGACCCACTGCCTCCTAACAAGCATGTTGCAAAAATGTTGAATAATTAGGAATATTTTCCTCAAAGTCAGAGTGCATTTGCATGAAAGGGAAGGAACCCACAGTCTACATACAAATAAGCCAGATCTGTAAAACAGACGTGCACGGACGCAAAACTCAAGTTCTGGAATAAGACCAAAGTCCACACTTGGACAAACAACCAGAACTTTCTGCTGAAGTTTACAGCCAGTGAATGCAAAAAAGTAAAATAAAAAATAAAGCCATTTGTCAAATGCACTGACAGTTGTGGATCTGGTAATGGACTATACAATAGATTATTAATGCAAGTGTTTTAGAGATCTCAGAGGATTGTTGCTAAAGGTACAGACTTTGTGCTTCATATATTGTCGATTCAGGTGATCAGCTGCTATGCAGAAAGAAATCAAGTCATCTGGGATAAAACCCTGACAAATAAAGTCCATCCTCTCACTTAAAAACATCTTTCAAGACTAGCACAACATGCCCTAAAGTGAATAAGATTATTATTTACATATTTCAAAACAGCCACAGTTTTTGTCCTCAGCATCAGAAGTAAATGGGAACTATTAATATAATTTACTCAAAGAGTTGAGTTGAGCCAAGAATTGACATCACAGCACTCAGGCATTCCCATGCATGCTCCGTCCATATCTTCAGCAGCCAGCGCAGAGTTCCAATACTGATGGTTCCGGTAACAATCTGGTCAAAAATCCGTCCTGCCTTTCCCTGAGTGTAGTAAGTCGGCCAGACCCTCTCGTTACACCCAGGTCCCTCATTCTCTCAAGGCCATAATAATCTTCTTTCTCTACTGATTTCGTTGTTTGTTCCCAAAGTGCCTTGACATGTATCAATTCACTGCCGATGGTGCGGATCCAGCCAATCTGTTTGCATGTTCATTACCCACCACGCTGGCATGGCCTGGAGAATAAAAGAATAAAAACATACCCATAGGTTTATCTTTGGCATCAGATGTAAATCTGCATATAAGGCTGTCATCGACTGTAGACCACATCTTAAACTGAGATCTCCACTGCTCCACAGCAACACCTGATGTTGCAAGGCATATGCACCTTTTTCTCACTGTACACGCTGCAGTCACACCAACTAACGTTTTTCCAGCACCTGGGAAGAAGAGTTGATGATGATAACTACAGTTGTTTTATTGGTCTTTGTATTATTTGAAGGAATAACTTCCATGCCCAAATGATTAAAACAATTACTCGTAAACTACATATATTCACGCCTATGGATCTGAAGGTCACAGGTTCAAATCCACATGGTGCTGGCCTTTTTTCAAAATTGACCTTGGCTCTCAGGTTGACCCAGCCTTAAATGGGTACCAGGTAAACATCCCAGGAAGTAAAGGCGGCTGGCATGATGCTGACCATATCACCCAACAAAAGCCAATGAATCTATAAAATACAGACCTAGCCTAGTATGCCAATTAAAAAAGGACCTATACTTTTTTGTAACACACATTCAGTAACTATTGCCTGTGCAGAATAGAAAGACTAAGTGGTAAAGTAAAATCACAAATGCTGAGTTTAACAGGTGGAAATAAACCATGTTTGCAGCTAAGCATCAGTTTTATTAAGAAGCATTAAGAATTGATTAGGAAGTAACAAGCCTTTTCTCTTTCTTTCTCTCTCTCTTGCACACACACACACTCTCTCTCTCTCTAACATGATTGAACAAGGATCTTTAGACTAGCTAAAGCTACAAAATTATTTTTGCTGCCAAAGGTAGACAACACAGAAACTTCAGCTGAATAAGCAACAACATTTCAATTACAAGATGGACTTACCACATGGTAACACTATTACCCCAGATCTGGCTCTTCCATTACCAAACATCTTGCGAAGACTTTTCTCTTGATACGGCCTCAGAATTGTAGATGGCTTCAGATCAATGCTGTTATTAAAAAATGAAAAAAAAATAAAAACAGGCTACAAGCAAAGATCAAAGACTCACACTTAACTCTGAAACGTTGCCCTAAAAAGCAAGATGAAGAGAAGAAGAAGCAGAAGAATTTTTGAGTTTTGATCAGTTTTTATAAAAAATCAGGGGGTTCCAACCTATTTCTATGGAGCAGACAGGCAAGAGAAAGAGTCCTAGCAACTGCCAACACTTGGCTTCTTCAATGGACTCAATGTCCAGTGTCTGATCACCAAGCAAAATACTACTCTAGTTTTAGGACAGCAATCTAGATAGCATACATACACTCAAGCAAAATTCACAGTATTCGAGTTCTTATTTTTCTTAAGGGAAGAAATAAATAAAACAACAAAGGAAGAAAGATCTTGTCAATACTTACTTAACATCTGGATTTACTGTGTCATTTCTGAAGTCGTATTCAGCCAACAGTGGATGCTCTAGTTCAATACATCTTAAAAACAAGACAATGTGAATTAATAAGCGGTAACAAAAGCACAAACAGAAAATTCTATAATTTATAAAACTGAATGAGGGTAAATTATTTTAGTTTCCTTGAACCAACTAAAAATTTTACATTTTAAAATATTCATACAACAAAATGAAACAAAAAAAAATGATGTAAAGATGTCACATAACGCTAGTGTCATGTGTCATTATTAGGGTTTCCCCTAATGAACTAAAAAGACACTCTGAAGTAGTTTAAGTGTTGAGATGTTGGCTGGCAATGGTCTAGGCGGTATCCGGCAGCTCCAAAGAACATCCAACCTACTTCAGGGGTTAGGCGACTCAAATTATGGCACTATAGAGTAAATAAATATTCCTAGGCGCAACTTGGTCTGACTTCTCCACTACTTTTTAGCCCCCAGACTAGATAGTAATCCTACGCTAGTCAAATTAACACAGTATAGAATTAATTATAACAATACAACATGCATTCCAGATAACTTAAGAACTGTGAAGGATGGACACTAACCACAGAATGTAAAATAATAAAACATCATGTAATCAGTGCAATACAAGTAAAGATGTAAAGAAATGGATTCAGACAAAGTAAAATCTCTATGATATCAAAGAATTCCCTACTCCAGATAGACTCCTAGTTTGCCACTAGCATCAGCAATTCTCATCATTGCCAGACTACTGAATTATGGACCTAGGTAACTAGCACTTGGTGTTATGAGTAACTGCAATCTCAAGCCACCACAACTTATCTGTCCAAGAGGTCCTGTTCATCCAAAGTGCAGCCTCTTCCAACAGTTGACATTGAGAATGTTTAAAGCCTTGTGAATCCAACATCAAATAAGATTGTTCATAAGTCACTTGGGGTTGAAAGAAACCTTGAATCTTTATAGTTTAGAATACTTTACTGTTTATAGCATTTAATAATTTGCTCAAGGTAGAAGGTTTCTTGTTATTTTTAATAGGTTCCCTACTAGACTCATTCGCCCTATCAAGTCCTGCTGACACACATTTTCAGTCAACCACTCAAGGCCGTGTCCAGTGTCCGAATGAATGCCAAGTCTTGCTCTTAAATTTGGTTATATTTTTACTAGCATGCGTACACCAGATGATACCTTAATGTCCCTCAGGTCTTCACAGTCTCCTCATTCATCAAACATTCACTGCTCCTCATCAGGAAATCCCTCTTAGTTTTCCCTAATCTGATGTCAGGTACCCCTGGTCTCAGCCAAAAGTCATCTGTGACCTGATGAATGGTGGGGTTTACCTCTAGCTTCTATTGTTTAAATTTCCATTCATATAATTACATGAGAGAAGCCGAACAAACACGATATGAAAATGGTGTAGCACATCATGGAGTGGAGGAATAAAATGTGAACCCCAAGTGACATACAAACAGCAAAACAGGACAACTATGACATAAACGCCCCTTATTCCACAGTTTCAGGCATGTAGAGCTAGCCTCATATTTTTTATAGACCAATCAGCACTCAGCTAGTGAAGTAATTAGTCCCACGCTGACCACCCTTACTTCCTGTGATATTTCCTGGTCCCAATTTTAGGCTGGGCTGACAAAAAAAGCTAGGTAAATTTGTAAAAATCTACATCAGTAGACATTTAAGTTTATACCCACCAGGCAGACATTCCAACATGCTAGCCTAGCTACACTACAGCAATCCCTCTTTCTGAAGGTTGCATGTAATGTTTCACTGTCATTAGTTTTTACAGGCAATAGCTGTTAATACATAAGCATTCAAGAACATCCATCTTTTCAAGAATTAACAAAAATTATCTATATTTTGCATCTTCTTCTGCCAACCGCCCACGCCTAAAATATATGATTTCAGCAAACCTTTAAATAGTTTTCTTTTTTACATGCTTCTTTAGGGGCAGCAAGTATTTTTCCTGCCCCATATGAGGTGCCAGAACCCACATATGAAAACTAGTCATGGGTACTATTTTAGTACACATGTATTTATATTATATTATGAATTAAATACATTTGTTATTAGAACATGTACCTCTTCTGCAACACTTCAATCGATTCTTGTTTGACTTCAAATGATACTGTTTTCAGCTGGGCATCATCTTCATCATCATCATCTTTGTCAATCTTGTCATAAAGTTCAAATATGTCCTCTGGAACATCTTTAACTTCTCCAGCATCCCCGTTTTCTGCACAGGAGGGCCCTGCTTGTGGACCATCTGGCCTTGCCCCAGGTTTGTTCAACTGTTGAAGAAAATTACATTTGGTGAGGTGTTAACTCTATCACGACAGGAGAAAAAAATAGTCAGTTTTCAGTCAAGGCCACACCAAATATTTCTGGGTAGGACAAAATGGTGTTTTTTAAACAGACAAACGAATCAGTGAAAACTGAAATAAGAGACTAAGGAAATTGAAAAACAGGAAAAGCTGACTCAAATTTTGAAATACAAGACTTATTCAACTTCAGCATTCACCCTTAAAAGGACAATTAGCATGCTGTTTTGTGCTTTACAGCTTGGCTGTGATATATGCACCTTTCGGCCCAACATATCCAATTTCAGTGAAGAAATACTTAAGAGGCACATGAATAAAGAGAAAGATCTATACTGAAAGTTTCAACAGGAACAAATAATAATTTTTTCTCCCCTATCTTTTTCTTTGCGTCTTTCAATGGAAACTCGGTTCATCTGCATGAGAGCTCAGTACTTGTCCCAATTTTGGAAGCAGTGTTTTTGTTATTTTAAAGCCCCACCCCGGCTTTGTCAGGACCCTAAATATAACCTACAGGCTAAATGGGGTTTCTGGGACTTGTGCCGGGGTGTGTCACCGGGTGATAGTGCTAGTCGTGCAGTCCTGGTGGGGTTGAAAGTCAGTCACTGTAGCCAATCCTAACAAGCAACACTCACCTCATTAAAATATCAGATAGCAGACAGGTATCACGGTCACCACGACAAGCTCTAGACCAGGTACCAGAAGAAGACAAAGAACCTGCACATTAAATAAGCGTTAAAGTGACGCTTAAAGCAAATTACCTGTAATGCAGATTTTCCTGACAGCTGACCAGTGAGGAAGTTTTCGTTACTAACATCTTCATCTAATTCTCGTTTTCTGGCCTCCTGAATGTAAGGATCTTTCAGAAGCTTCTGAAGCACATCCTAGAGAGAGAGAAAAGTATAATGTACAACCTGAGGCTTGGTAGTACACTTTATTATGTAAAGTCCCTTCTCACATCATCAGCTTCTGGTACTAGACTAATATTTATATGGATCAACTGGCACTCGACTGGTGATATGATTATCATCACACCAGCCACCTTTACGTCCCAAGAAATCAACTGGTGCATTCTGTATTTCCAATCAAAAATTTCAGCAACCAAACTGACAATATATTAGACATGAATAATGTGAAAGACTGTGACACATAAATGGTACAAAGGAATATATTAGTTAAGTCTCTATGAAAGCTGATTATGCAAATTAAGTCTTAATATGTGTGACCAAATGGTCAATGAAAATATGATATATATTAGCAGGCCCCAACTCCTGCAAAGATACTGGATAGCAAAGACTGAAATGCAAATTACAGGCAAAGTTCTAGGTAAAAAGCACAATTACGTGGATTATTAAATCAATGGCCAGTTCTCAAGCATTCATCTCTCAAATAAATTTTGTCCTATCCAGCAAAGCATCTCTCTAATTCAGAAATTAATATGTCCAATTATGAATTGCATTTACAGAGAGGTTTCTTTCCCTAAGCAAGTCACACTCAAGATAATAGATTGTTCTAACAGAAATACACAAATCATACTGCTTACATAGTACATCTAAGAACGAAAGTCTAAAATTAACAGTATGATCCTTCTAAATAAAACAGGATTTCCATTTTAACTGCCCCTGCTTCAGTTAAGTTTAATAAAAAATGTATCTAAATTAGGGGAAGCCGTGGCAATCAGGATGGACAATCTCATGTTATCGAAATGGACATATCAAGAGGTTAATCTTAGACTTCCATTGTGACATATAGTGCAATGGATTCTATCTAACCACAGGTAGCTTTTGTCTTCCAATAATTTTTGCAATGGCAGTTACCTAATAACCTATTACTCACAAATTTTCAATAGGCAACTGCTCTTCCTATTTAATGTGTTAAAGTGTGCATAAAACATAAAGTGTTTAAAAAAGAGGCCTAAATATCCAATCTTACTACTTAACAGATCAAGGAAATCAATGATATCAACAGAATGTTGCCCAGTTTATGAATACTAATTCATCTTAGATTTTAGGTTTCTGCCCCTGATGATACAGCAAATGTATTTTGTGTGACACTGTTACTATCAGCGAGCCACTGCAGAGAGAGACCATGCCGGATGGGATTAAATATAGATAAAATAATATTAAGATCCCTTCATCTTTATGACTGTTAGTTGCCCTTACTCCCCGTGTGGGTTTCAGGGGTCCATTGGGGTTGGGGTGGGAGGGGCGGGGGTATACTAACTGTCCCTCCTAACAAGCATGTCACAAAAGTCTACTAATTAGAGGTGTTTCCTTCGAAGTCAGAATGCCTGAGAGGGGAGAAACCAACAGCCTGCTTACAAAAAAGCCAGATCTGTAATACTGATGTGTATGCATAGTTCAAGTTCTGAAACATGAGTGAAGTTCAGAAGATAAGAACAACAAGAACTTTCTGCTGGAGTTTACAGCCAGCGAACACAAAGAAGAAGTGCTATTACAAAAATTAAGCACTTGGGTTCAAAAATACATTGCAAAGTTGACTAGTATAATACTTCACCTATTTTTCTTTTCTTCATTAGCAGTGTCAGAAAACAACATCTTTATATAAAGTTGACAGTAAATAATAAACCACAAAACTTACTGGGTACTGACTTTCAACAAAGTATCTATTGTGTTTTAACACAAGCTTGACTTTCCCGTAACTAAATGTGCAAAGCTGAAATAAAAACAATATTAAGTTACAATACAAGTTCAATATCTTTGGCAGCTTCTGTAACATCACAGCTCTCTGCTCCTAAACTAAGCTGAAATGTGACACCATTTCTTTATAAAAGAAATTATTATTTCAGCGTAATGATAACGTACTGTCATGTTAAGTCAGTCAATCTGAAGAATGCTATTAAGGTGTTTTTAACATAACTGCCATTACTACATGACTTTTCCACCTTTGCAGTGTAAGCGGACAGGGGGGAAAGGGGAGGGGCGTGTCTTTTGGCCAGAGGATTTAGGGCCACATGGCTAGCACAGCTGTCGCTGACAGTGCAGGTTAGAATTTCATTCTTGCCCTTGACAGAAACAAATTCATAATTTTAGTGGGAACCTAGCATTCTTATGTGTTCAGTCAGCCGCTCTTCCTTTCATATTACTCTATTCTAGGTCTAGATGTCTGGCAGACCATAATTTGCTATTGAAAAAGAAGAACCATTTTAGCTTCCCCACAACAAACACAATCTCAGTGATAAAATGAACACTACTGGCAGACAACCTTCATCAGCATTCAACAACTGGGAGAAAAATATAACTACAAAGATACTACATAAAATGACTCTGCTGCTGTTTGAAAGCTGAAATTAATGTAACGATTTTCCACTAATATATACATACACACAAAACAACTGCCAGCCATTTAATATTAATAGCAGCTTTGATCATTGTTGACATTTTTCAACTAATTGCAGCCTAAGTTAACTTTTAAGAGATCTTAAACATAAAAAGTGGGCTCAAAGAGACTCCCACACTTTTCGCCATTATTTGAAAAGACAATAAAATCAATTATCCTAGGATTGGGTGGTATATTTAGTTTTTTTTTTTTTTACTTACATGCAGATGCTATTCCTATAAGCCACTCAACCTTTGTTAGGTACAAGAAGATGCTGTTCCTATAAGCCACTCTGCTCCTTACAATTATAGCATTCCATACAAATAACAGACATCCCCGTGTGGGTTTTGGTGCCCACTCTGGGGAAAACAAGAACAGACCCAATGTCGTAAGAGTCGACTAATTTGGAGTTTACTTCGAAATTGAAGTGCATCTGCCTGAGAGGCAAGGAACCAACAGTCTGCGTACAAAGTCAGATCTGTAAAATAGATGTGCATGCAATACTCACATTCTGGAACAAGTCATAAGTCCAGAGGTGGATGAATAACCAAAACTTACCACAGGAGTTAACAGCCAGTTAATGCAAAGAAGAAAAAGATAAAGAGATAAAACAAACAAACCTTAATGAACTCCACAATCCCAGAAGGCAAAGAAGTTTTACTCAATCTGCGCAGGTATTCAACAATATCATTTGTCTGCAGTCCAACAGACACTGCCGCGTACAGTGAGTATGCCGTCAGCCTGTATTCATGAATGTGTGTTGGTCTGCACACCGGCTAAGGATGAAGTTTTATGTATAAATGTGAATACCTTAGTAAGACGAAAACTACAGTAGTAATTTACATCTATAAATAACAAAAATTGAAATGACATAAGACATTTCCATCCACGAAACTGACCTGTGGGAGCGAGTGAACAGTGCAGAGCCACAAATAGATCATTACGGTATGAAGAGAACGGTGCTGTGGGGAGTTACAAGGGGATCTGGCCGATGCTCGACACTCTAAAGGCGAGATGGATGTACAGACAGTTACTGGTACCATCGGAATTGGAACTCTTCGATTGCTGCTGAAGATGGGAATGGAGCGCTTATAGGAGTGTCCAGAGTGCTATAATGTTGATTGTTAATTCAACATTCAATAACAATTATTAAATAAGGAAGCTGAAAGAACTTCTTTTTTACTGTGCCGTCTCAACAATGGAGGTTGGCTGCAATGTATCCACCGCTAACTATAGAAATATTAGGTGGTGAGGTGCAACTCAGGTATCACTGTCTGACCTCTGTGAGGATCATGTTTTCTATCATGTTTTCTAACCCTCCCACTGTGGGAATCGAACCATGGACAATGTCAAGGACTGCATTGTGAAACCACACATAATGTTGAGTTTACTTTCCCTTCAAGATCAATCACAACAATTGTATGGTGTGTATTTTATGTAGTTTAAAGCAACCTCAATGCCATACTGGTTAGGGGAAAAACCAGATTCTGATAAAGTTTGAACTCAAACCACTATTTTATCAGGCAAGCACACTAAGTACTACTTCACTATGGCCACTTCCAATATGAGCTATACAAATTTAATGATTAACAATTAACTATCATATTAATCAATCAGTCAATCAGAAGCTCCTATATAGAACATCGCTCTCTTCACGGAATTCCTGAAAGTCTCTCCTTTTCTGGCCACTTCTCCAGCCCAGGGTGCTTTCATAGCCAACGCATCATAAATGTCCGGTATCCACAATCGTGTAGGTTGGCCTCTTCTTCATTTACCGGAAACTGCAACCTCTAACACCATTCTTTCCAGACCATGGTGTTTGACATAGTCAAAATACCCCAGCTTTCGGGACAGGATGCTGTTTATGAGCCAATTCTCCCTGATGTTCAGGTCGAACTATTATATACAGATCAGTAAATGCTGTATTTTAGTGAACAAATATTTAGTGACAATTTTAGTAAACATGGTGAGCATTATTTAAGCTCAAGTTTCAAGAAATAAAAAATTAAAATAAATACCTCTGATATAGCAATGAGAAAATCATGTGCATGTCTGTATACTGGAGAAAATGACTCTAGGAAAATATGTCCATTGGGAGCCTGAAAAAAAAAAAATTTTTAATTGTAAAACGCATTATTATTTAATCACTTATCAATACACTCTATAAAAACTCATTTATTATTAATTCTGTACTAAATAAAATGTCAAGATGTTTATAACATTTTGTAAGATTCAAAAAAAAAAGATAAGAAAACCGGGCACTTCAAGCTGGTGCCAGTACCCAGTAAAGCCTAGTTCACGGATTGCTATAAAGCTCATTTAACAGAAGGATAGCTCACAGAATTGATTCCTTTTTCCCGTGCAAATGTTTAGTAGGACTGCGAACAGTTACATTAACTAAAATTAGCAGTAGGAGGTTTTGCCTTGTGAATAAATTGTTTTATTAATAAAATTCAGACGTCATATTTTGCTAATTAGCACAGGGTGATCAGGTCACAGGTCAACTAACTTTCAGGCTATAATTTATTTGTCAAGGCCCAAAGAGACACACACTTGTTAATTGTCTGGTGTGTTTGTTTTTATTAAGTACTCCTCTTTATCTGTATGGTTTTTAGTGTCTTTTTTATTTTTTGTCAGCAAATAATGTAATTTGTGTGTGTGTGGGGGGGTTATATGGTGGTTTTTTTTAAATTTATTTTTAATGTGTAAAAACATTTTTCAGAGATTACTGAAATAAGGAAAATACAGGATCCTGGCAATATTTTGTCTAGGTCACTGAGCTGAAAGGGTTAATGCAAAAAATAAAAATTACAAATGAGAAACTGTCACACATAGGCCCAGAACCCACATGGAAAGAGCAGACATATGCGTGCTGATGTCTTTTTTATGTTTACTCAAAGTATTTGAAAACGGCGCTGAAAATTAAACTCAGCCAAAAGCTAACGAGGTTAAAAACTGTAATTAATTTTATAGCACCTGTACAACTGTTAATATATGCAAAGAAAGTTTTCCAGAGTGAGGAGAAAATTTCCGGAACAATCAGACATTGCACAAGTTAAGATTTTTATTTCACTTCAGATAAGAGTTTTGTCTTACAGAAGAATTGAACATATTCCACATAAGTATTAGGTGGACATTCTAACTTTAAGCCATAACCTAACCTATCAGTATACACCTAACAAAAACATGTACACAGGTTTTCCTTCTACATAACATAAACAGAGCAAAACAACTGAATAAAGTGCATCCGCTAGTCAGTCAGTATATTAATATTACGTCTTAAATGGTGCCTTACAATCCACAGAGGCCTGGATTTATGGTCTGCTTTCAATTCCAGTAACTTTCTGTAATCATGGGCTCCAAATTCGTCTTCAGGTGCAGCTTCAGCACACTCACGAGTTGCAGACGCGGGTACATCTGCAACAAAGTAAATATATCATTATTTAATTCATTACACATGTCACTGTATTTTCTATGTATCAATATTGCTCAGCAACTATAACTTATATAAACATTTATTATTAATAAATATAAACAATATGATAAGTTGGATTTGCTTATAGCAGTATTCTATTTCCTCCCTTAAATGTGTCTCAGCCTTGACGTGGTAGGGAGGGAATCTTGTGCTTCTCAATGACACTGAGAAGAATGCCACCAGTATTGAGGCTACCACTGATAGTTTCCCAAGCTGGGCAGGTCACAGGGCAGAGAAAAGACAAAGAGAGACACACTGGTTCTTCAGAATGGGGCTGGCACCTCTACATTCATAAGACTTCTGAGCCTTGAATCTGAATGAACTTAGACTCTACAAACACTGTACCACTGGAAAGAGAAAGCTGATCACAGAGGTGAATGGAGGGAGTGATATCTGCAGCAGTGAACTTCAAGGGCTCAGAATGCTAAAGAAGAATACTCTTAGAACAATATATTCTTTGATTTTTATGCATAGCACAATTATTTTCTTTGCTTTCTGTAAAACTTTGCCTAAATCAGTGGTTCTCAACCTTCCTAATGCTGCCTTCCCATGTTGTGATGACCCCCAGCCATAAAATTACTTTCCTTGCAATTTCATAACCTCAGTGAATATGTGTTTTCTGATGGTCTTAGGTAACCCCTGTGAAATGGTTGTTTGACTAAAAAAAAAAGGGTTGCGACCCAAGGCTGAGAACCACTGGTCTAAATAAAGAAGAAATGTGACATAGTAAATGGGTACCAGAACCATAAGAATCTCTGGGAATAACATTTTCTGAGGAAGAAAACTAGTCACCTTATCTCCTAATACAGTGGTTTTCAACCTTCCTAATGCTACAACCTGTTAATACAGTTCCTCATGTTGTGGCGACCCCCAACCATACAATAAATTTTGTCGCTACTTCATAACATCAATAAATATTTGTTCTGCGGTGGTCTTTTGTGACTCATACGAAAGAGTCGCAACCCACAGGTTGAGAACCGCTGTCCTAATACCATGATCTAGCACATGTTAAATAACTTTATTATTTCAGCAAGATTATTTTCAACTATTGCCTTTCCTTTTTTTACTGGCCCAGTGTATACCGCACAAAAGATGAATATAAACTGGTTAAAAAAACAATTAGAAAGCTAGAGTTAAAAAAGATATGAAACAATCACCAAAAAACAAAACCTGTAAAAACCATCTCAATAAAACAAAAACAACAAAGTCTAAGCAAATAAAAACGACAACAAAAATGATGCTGTGACAGCAAATGTCACTGATTAAAAATAAATGTCAGTGACTGGAAAACATTTCAAGTGTATTTGATTGATTAAATTAAAATTACTGAAAGGCAGATCTGTAATCAAAATGCTCTATTCCATATTCAAGTCAGATATTAATAGAAGTTTCATCTTTTTCCCTGTTTAATGTTGTCCCCATGTGGGTTCCAGGGCCCCATTTTGAGGAGAAAACAGAACAGACTCTGTGTCCCTCTAATAAACATGTTATTCTTGCTTTCCCCACAATGCAGTCATAAACCAAACACACAAGAAGATTAAACTAAAACTGGCAAAAGATAAAGAAAATATCACAACCTTTTACACTCTCTATATCTCCTTGGTCATTATCATCATCATCATACAAATCAGCTTCATACTTTGCTTTCTTTGACTTCTTCTCTTCTGTTTTAAAAGAAATACATTCACAATTATTTTATTTGCATGTGATATTTGTAAACATAATTTATGCACAATAAAATGGCAGCAAAATGTATATCTCTAAATTTAAAAAAACATGGTATGATCTCCTTGTTTAAGGATCTTGCTGAGTTGCCATGAAGGCAGAAACAGACCTACAGTGGATTCCATCTCACTGTGACATCAAAGGCAATGAAAGTGTTAACACTTTAGCCAGAGAAGGCAGCAGCAAACCACAAAACTGCCAGCCACTATCTTTTCCAGAAATCAAAACTCTCACCAAGAGAAAATCAGAAATACACTGGAAAACAAACATAGATTTTAACCACAAAAGATTTCCAACAACAGTTGAGTTGAGCCGAGTCCATTCTTGACATCACAGCGCTCGGGGCATTCCTTATGTGTGCTCCGTCCTTATCTTCAGCCGCCAGCGCAGAGTTCTAATACTGATGGTACCAGTCATAATCTTCTGATTTTATGTCTGTCTTGCCTTTCCTCTGAGTGTAGTGAGCTGGCCAGAAACCATCTGAACAGAATAGACCAAGTCTGTTTTTCGCTTATTACTTATGCACTGGACACTGAAGACTCAACAAACACTCATATAAATTAGGTATGAGCCAAACATGTATCTGCCAGTGTTTTTGTGCAGAACAGATTCAAGAACATATCTTGCAAGACTGTCCTTTCCTGGCGGAGCTGTGATGCAACATGTGGCCACACCCAGTAGACCTGACAACTAAGCTTTGGGGAAACATAAGAGACATTGAGATGACATCACAGTTTATGGCCATCGATGGATAAAGCAAATGATAAGAGATTGCTGAAGAAAAAGATATCTTGTTTCATACAGCCAAGACCATTCATTATCTCCACTGTAATGGAGATGAAGCATACAAAACTTCACTGATGACATTTCCTTGATATTCCTTTCACAAAATTAAGTGCAAGAGGAATTGGCTATCCTCCGATTAACGGTCCTAAATTATCATTGCGGAAAATATACCCTAACAGGGCCTCAGTCACGTGTCAATTGCGCAGTTCCGTCCTCTTGAAATGCGAACTTCCAGCAAATTGCAAACTTTCGGTAGGGACTACAGTTTCGACAATTTGCGATCTTTTCGGCAATTTCCGTTACCCGGAAACCGTTCAGAACTTGTTCGGGAAATCTCGGCTGGTTTCCGGATGGGTCCAAATCTCATGAAAATTCGTGATTGGTGGGAATTTGGACCAGCTATAAATAGCTGGAAACAGCGTGGGGGAACCCGATTAACAGCGCACGTCTACGACAGCCGGACTCCTCTGTTTTTCTGTTAGTCATCAGTTTGATTGAAAATAGCGGTAAATTCGAGGATGGCTTTAGGCCTTAAACATTACCAGTTGTGGTAATGCTAGTTACAGTTGAATTCTCCGTCCAATTTTACATTTGCATAAATAAATTTCTTTCCCGACTTTCGCTGTTTAGATTTACAGTGACATTTTTTAGGCAATCGCATGCGGCTGAGTCTCACTGCCTGCCATCTTGTCCAATGACAGTCTAATGTCAACAAAGCCAATACAGAACTGCGCAGTAGGTTGCGCAGTGAAAAACTTCTTGTTTCTGGGTCACAAGTTTTAGCGGCTGTTTCTTACATCTCATCTCCACAAAAACCTACATATCTCAGCTCAGAAATGACATACAAGCCTAAATGAGGTACCATTGGAAAGAGATTGTTTACAGCTATCTAAATGTGCTGGTTTTATTGGTGTAGAGGGCATTTTAAAAATTTGACTGAAGTACCTACTTTCGGCAACCTCCGCCACCGCCGAGAGTAACCCCTACGCCGCGTGGATTGGGGCTAAACTAGATGGCTAGGACTCACGAGCAGCAGGTACCGTATCTCCTGCAGCTTCCTTCATTTTATTTGCTCGTGAGTCCTAGCCATCTAGTTTAACCACAATCCACGCCTCGTGAGTGGCATGGCGGTCACCCTCGGCGGTGGCGGAGGTCACCGAAAGTTCGGTGGTGGCGTTAAAGTCCTTTGAACTGCGTAACTGACACGTGATTGAGACCCTGTTAGGGAATATTTTCCGCCCCCATAATTTAGGACCATTATTCAGAGGATAGCCGAGGAATTCAACATAAATGATGAGATATCACAATAATTAGGTCAAAAAAATCCCTTACCGGAAAATAAAGTTTATGAGAATAAACCAGGCAAATAACAATCCAATTACTCTAAGTGATATGCTACTCTAAGAGGTGAAGTTCAGTTTCACAATATTATTGTGTAGTCTAATTATTCTAATAAAAATACCATCATCACAAGAGAACTCCCAAAGTAGGATATCTCACTCATCATCATCATGTGGCAGGTCCCTTACAGACTAATGTTTCGATTATATAGCTTGCCTGTAACTAGATCCATCGCAAGGTCTCTAGCTTCATGCACTTTCTTGGCTACGATGTCGGCCCATCTTTCTCTGATCTGTTATCAATGTGTGTGTTTTTTTCCAAGCAATGTGGAATCTGATATGGTGCAATGTGGAATCTGATTTGGTCAAAGTCAGTTTCTAAGACACCATGCTGTTCACGAGCCAAGTTTACATATAGTTCAGAACATAATGATAGAGAACGACTGAAACAATTATCAATTATTAATATAGAAACATCAAGCAGCCTTAAATGAGTACCAGGTACAGTTCTGTGAAGTAAAGGCGGCCGGCGTAATGTTGACCATAAGTCCCGTTTTCGGCAGGCCAGAATCGTTTTTAGTTAGGCGCAGGCAGACCGACCCGTCAATTAATTCAGTTAACGGCTCTCCTCCGAACTTCTACCCCCGCATTATGGTGGCAACAAATATCCGTACGGGGCTCAGTTCTATTAAAAATATGCAGGCTCCATATAACAAAACAAATGCTCTAACATGGTTTCAGCGATATGTTACTTCCAGACATGTTTATGTGACTATGCCTCACCGATGATGGTATCCCCGGCGCCACTAGGCGAAGCTCGGATGGGGGCTAAACTAGATGGCTGTGACTCACAAGCAGCAGCTACCGCATCTCCTGCAACTTCATCCAATTAATTTGCTCGCGAGTCCCAGGCACCTAGTTTAGCCCCCAATCCGCTCCGCGCGTAGCAGCGCAGGGGATACTGTCGGTGGTGAGTGTAACAGCGTTTTGCGCATGCTGACACGTTTGAGGACAACGACGACGCTAATCTGCGTCGACGCACATGGACTCCCCGCCATGTGGCTTTTATCATCAGTAATGTTGCGTGTCTCCAAATTGTCCATGGTCGCTAGTATTGTCTGCTAGTATCGTCCGCAGAAACGCTCGAAAGTGTCAACGGTCACTATTATCGTCTGCAGGTTTGCGTCTCTTAAAAGTGTCAGGTAATCTTAGTTTTGCCGCGATTCGTTCGCATATTTTTAATAGAACTGAGCCCCGTACGGATATTTGTTGCCGCCATAATGCGTTTATTGAGAGAAATTCTGGCTCTCCTCGGAACTTCTACCCCCGCAGTATTGCGGCCTGAAATATCCGTTCAGGGCGCAGTCCAATTAAAAATACGGACTTTTCGGAGTTTCCGCCAAGGAACAAATTGCGGCAAAACTAGGAGTACCTTACAATATCATGAGACGCAACATTGCAGACAATAGTAGCAGACTATAAAAGCGACCGGTGACAATGTCGAGCGTTTTCTGCAGACGATACTAGCAGACGATAAAAGCGACCGTTGACAATTTCGAGACATTACAGGCGATGAAAACGATGTGGCGGGTAGATCACTCGCACCCACGCAGATTAGCAATACTGTTCTTCTGATTGAGGATTTAGCAGCGGTAGATGTCAGACTTGTCGGCATGCGCAAAACGCGATTAAATTCACTGCCGAGTGTATCCCCCGTGCCGCTACGCGTGGCACGGATGGGGAGGGGGGGCTAAACTAGGTGCCTGGGACTTACGAGCAAAGTAATTGGAGGAAGTTGCAGGAGATGCGGTAGCTGCCGTTCGTGAGTCCCAGCCATCTAGTTTAGCCCCTATCTGCGCCGCGCTTGAAGGCGCGGGGGATACGCTCGGCGGTGAGGCATAGTCACAGAAACAGGTCCGCAAGTAACATATCGCTGAGACCCTGTTAGAGCATTTGTTTCGTTTTTCTGAGCCGATCCTAGATTTGCCCGTCGGCAGAAAGTCCGACAATGGAAAGTGTCAACGGTCGCTATTATTTACATCGTCTGCTTCTCTATTGTCTGCAGTGTTACGTGCGTCTCTTAGAATTGTCAGGTAAAATCAGAAACAATAAGAAACAGGTCCGCAAGTAACATATCGCTGAGACCCTGTTAGAGCATTTGTTTCGTTATAGTATAACTTATACGGAGCCGGCATATTTTTTATTGGACTGCGCCCCGAACGGATATTTCAGGCCGCAATACTGCGGGGGTAGAAGTTCGGTCGAGGAGAGCCAAATTCTTTCTCCACTCCATTCATTCATCTCTTTTGAGGAGAGAAAAGTAATTAAGCAATAATGTGATAAGAAAAAACAAAAGATTAGCATTAATGTCAAACCTTTGTCACGTTTTTCACGCTTACTGCTAGCCATTACACCAGCAAACAAACAATTTTACAATACTCGAAGTTATGAAACTACACTTCTACTCCACTCAGAACACACAATGTTTCTGTCTGTCAGGGAAATGTAAATGCCTCTCTTACATTGGAACACCAAAGCTTGCCAATTCTTGACGTATTTTTAAAGTATCGAAAACATAGTTTTGCATTATTAATTCAAGGTAAAGCAAGTTTTTTTTTACAAAGCTAAAAATTGCCTTCTTAGCATTTCCATAACTTTTACATCATCTTAAAAAACCCTAACTGCCCAAACAAAATTTTTATGATATTTATTTCATATATCCCTAGCCCTTTCTTGTACTTTTTTTTTCCTAATGCATTTCCTTGCATGTCGTTTATAGTTTATGTTTTGCTGCCCAGAAATATTCGGCCTTGGAGAAATTTATTCACAGGTGACATTATCGAATATTTTAGAAAAAAAAAAAATTTTTTTTTTAGTGGTTGCCAACATCCGAGCACTTTAAAAGACGGTGGCTGTCATCAAAAACTAGTGACCCCAAAACCTCTACAAGTGGTAAACGACTAAGATACGGAACACCAGCAATGATTTCTGATGTTGTCACGGAAGGTGACTCGCCTTGCAAGCAAAATTCTTCTAAATCCTTCCTCCTCATACCTGTATATACTGTGTCACAGTTTACACCAAGGAACAGTAAATACAAAATTTTTAATTTATTTATGTTTCTGTTCAAATGTGATCATGACGTGTTACTATGTTTATAGTGTACTGTATTTATGAAACTATATTTTAAAATATGAGTTTATTGGACCCTGATACAGATTAATCTAGTTTCCGTTATCTTTAATAGGAAAAACTGCCATGGAACTCAAATGATTTGGAATTCGAACGCCTTCTCGTAACGGATTATGTTCAAACTCCAAGATGCATCTGTATATATTACATATAGTATACTGTTCAAAGAAAGAAACGTATAGTTATCGATGGCAAGTTTTTATCAATTTGTATGTAAACAAAAATTGACTAGGGCATGTAAAAATCAGACTCAGGTATTGATTACAGTGTTAAGTGGACAAGTTAGCTTGAATTGCGTGAGTTTCTGTAATCGTTGCAACGCAGTGGTCAATTGTTTTGTTGGCCATATATTTCATTAAATACATCATAATTGATGCCTGAAAGTATAAGAAGAAGAAAACTGTCAGGGATTATCAGAGTTAACGGTCTCTAGAGATTCAGAGTTCATAAACCATGGCGGGGAAGAAAATGAAACAGACTCATCTATCCACTGCCCTACTGGATGCCCATAGGCATCTATGTGGGAAATGCCATATGAAACTATAGTGGACGAGGATATCCAATGCAGTAGAAGTCTAACATACGAATTAAGCAAAGCACTCTGTTGTGTTGGTAATCGAAGTCCCAGGTCTGCAGGCTGCCTACTGCTGGCTTTTACAGATATAGCCCGTGATGAATGAGATGTTCAATATAAGGAAGTGAGGTTAGACAGTCATGAGCAGGAAGTGGGTGAGCCCAGTACCAGAGCACAATGTACAGGCTCTGTATTTATCGAAGACTCTTTAGATGGCGGGGAATGCTTACGCTCTGTCCCTGCCTTTTTTTTAGTTCAGTGTCACCGGCATTCCTCAAATAATTATCAATAGCTCTGTTACTTCTGGACACCAGCCCCTTTTCCACTCGACAATTTCCTCTAAGCACTAGAGTTCAATGGCACGGGAGTTCTATTAATAGTACACATCAGCCTTGTCCTTGTTACCCTCTCAACAATCTTCCATTAGCATTAGAGTTTATGAGCACGTGAGTTCTTATACTCTGCAAAACAGTCCCAACTAATTTTTTTTTTTTGGGGGGGGGGGGGTGGTGCAATTAACACTTCTTAGCCAGCATACTTGACGATCTAGACTTCGCTGACAACATTTCTCTGATATTCCTTTCACAAAATTAGCAACAAGAGTAATTAAACATACGTGATGAGAGATGACAATAATCAGGTAAAAGAAAAGCCTGACGGGGAAATAAAGTTAATGAGAATATACCAGGCAAATAACAATCCAATTACTAACAGTGATATTCACTCCAATAGGTGGCGTCATACACCTATTTAGATAGTAATTTTGATAAAGATAGGGGACTGATAGCGGTATTAGAATACGAATAAAAAAGCCAAGATGTGTTTTTATAGCGAAAGTCAAAGAAAATTAAAACTTAATATATTTAGCTCTAATGCCAAATCAGTAACTACTGTATATAGCTGAAACATGGAGGACAACTAAGACAGTTACCGATAAACTAGAAAAATTTTATTAGCTGGTGCCCGCTGAGAATGTAGAGTACGATAGAATCATTTATGTAGTGCTTTGGGAGAGAACTAAAAACAAATTCCAGCGAATCAAGCAGTGAAGACAGGATGCTGGCGTTCGATAGGACACATGTCAAGAAAACTTGAGAACATTAACTAGAATGTCTTCACACTGGAACCCATAGGGGCATTGGATAAAGACAGATAACTCTCCCCTCCCCCCCACCCCCCAAAAGAACATAGAAGGGAGCTAAAGATTAACCTTTAAAAGAAAGGGAATACATGGGGGGGGGAGAGAGAGCTCCATAGCACAGGACAGGACGACCTAGCATGAGTTAGCTGAAGGACTCTGTGCCATTAGAGGATAATAGGAAGCAGAAAAAGCTTTATTTGCATTGCATCAGTAGGAAACCTCTTTGGCTTTCTCCGATCATGACGTTAAAAGAGCGGTATCAATAAGATAATTGTCAACAGATTCAGCTTCGCATTATTAATGTGTAAGTCTATTTATTCTTAAGAAATACCATTATCATAAGCATAAGAGAATTACCTAAGTAGGACACCCCACTTATCATGCTCGTGTAGCAGGTCACTTACAGACTGTCGCTTCAATTACAGCTCGAAATGTAACTAGTTCCCTTGCAAGTTTTCCTGCTGCATGCACATTCTTCGCGCTGGTCTGCCCCTCCCCTTCTAATCCTGTATCAATGTATTTTGCCAAAGCCAATGTGGAATTTGATATGTTCAAAGTATATCAGTTTCTGAGACAAAATGCTGTTTACGAGCCAGGTTTACATGAAGTTCACAACATAGAGAAACTGAAACAATTACTAATAAACTGCAGACAGCCTTACATGAATAGTAGGTACACTTCTGTGAAGTAAAGGCGGCCGCATAACGTTGACCCTATCAGCTACCGATCCGAGTGCTGACAGGTCTATAAAATATAGGCCTAGCCCTATATGCCAAATACACATGAAGGCGTATAAAAGATAGTTTACTTTATTTAGTTACAAACAGATATTAATTACACAATTCTATATAGCCTTTTGTCACATCTCGGAGGGGGGTGTCTGCATATCATCTGAAATATGATCTTGGAGATTTCAGGCTGTTGGGAGGCGTGATGGCCCACACCTGCCCGCAAGGCACTCGAGGATGATGAGCAGCTGCTGAATTAGTGAATGATGAATCGACAACATAGCACACCGGGCATACACATCGATGCTCTGCCTATTGCAGCAAATGTCTTAAGGTGTAGCTGCTATTTCCATATTACACTGATTATACACACGCCGATAGCTTCGTCTCCTATACCCTCCTTGCCGGATCCACGCCTAATTATTTATTCACACATTCTTACACATGTTATTTCATCCAATCTTGTGTCATCTATCAGCATTCCACCATAAATGGTCGTCAGAATGTCTCCTTTGTCAAGTAAGATTGTTCCCGTAGATACCCTTTTTGTAGCCAGAACATCCGCTCTTTCATTCTTTCGCCCGCATGCATCTTCCGGATAGTATATCCATGTCAGTCCCTTTAATGTTGACGTGCTGAGGCTTGATGTCCACTCATGCCTTATTTGTCTAGTTGAGACATAAAACCGAACGAAAAGTATATTAGCTAGCTTCACAATGTAACGAATACAAATAAAACGTGAACGTTGCGGCTATGGAGCCTTCATCAGCACATACAAATCAAACCATACCACACAAATACACAAAATCACTTAACTTGTTTCTCGAAGCCGCCGGGTCGATGGTTTCTCAGCAGACTGCCTACACGCGTAGGCTAGGGGAATAAATACCAGCTGTGGAGTACCAGGGGCCATAACTAGTTGTTAGAGATAAAACTGTGAGGGCAGTTCCATTTCCTAGAAGTTTAAATAAAACCGTGTTGGCAATTTAGTCCGGGGGGTGTTAAAGTACCCAAAGTGTAAATAAAGCGATTCTCCAGAGACTTGCGGACTCTGTCGATGGAGTGGCTAGATTTAATGGCTGTTACCTCCATGCCGAGGACACCTTTAAAATTCTGTGAATTGAAGTGCAACGGTACTGGTTTCAATTCACCACATTTAAAAGATGTTGTCTGAGCCTGTCAGCCAGGCGTAGACCCGTTTCACCAATGTATTTCATGCTACATCTCTTACAATTGATGACATAAATGACATGTGCCCAGTTGGTACTTATCTATATGTATTTCATGATCTTCAAGTCGGTTGTCGGTTCTGATCGTGCAAACTGGCAATGGATTTTAGCTTTAAAAAACCTTGGCTATTTCATAGACATTCTCATTCATTATCAGGTGACCTGCCGACTGGCGTGGGGGAATCATACCTCTCCACAATCTGCGATCTCCTGCAGAATGTATCAGTACGTGTGCTGACACACCTCCATGCAATGCAACAAGACCGTCAAGAATCTTCTCCAGCCGTCTTCCTCTTCCCTCCTTCCACAGATCCCTCCAGTGGTCACAACATGTTTATTTATTGCTTTTTTGTGTGTTTAAGAATGGCATGTTTCATAAAGTCGGAAATTAATTTTTTTATTTGCTACGAAATCCTGAAAAATATTGCCTAAATTGTTTAAAGTTACAAGTCTGAAAGAAAACACTACGTCTTCTGTTTTGGTTTTGCCAAAGTCAGATCTTTTGTGCCTTATAGCACACACATTTGCCGAAGACTGGCATATTGTCGGCTGGAAGAACAGGGAAAGAAAGCCGGTTTACTTTGTGTGAAATTTCAGAGAGAAAGCAGTGAATACATGGTAAGCCTTTATACTTTTGGAACAACATCATACAAGATATGCTACGCTAGAGTAGCTCGTCTTTTTACAGTGGAATTGCAAACTTAACGGTGAATGCAGCACACGGCTTGAGCGAAGTGAAACCATTATAAAAACGTGACTAAAAAGTAAAAATACCAAAAAGTTTAGCGTGCCGCAACTACGGTGCAATATGATGAGGCACAACAACAAGACAAAGTGTCAAAGTCAAACAAAAGATTCAACGATTTCGAACACTATTATGTTTTCTATTGTATTGGCGTAGTTGCCGGCGTAGCGAAATTTGCATTGATTTGATTTAATGATAGGTTTGCAGTCGAGACTGCAGTGAATCATTAATCATGAATGATTTCTGTGAGTCAAAGGTAATTTAGTCAAATGTTCAAAATGCCCTCTACACCAATAAAACCAGCACAGTTAGATAGCTGTAAACAATCTCTTTCCAACGGTACCTCATTTAGGCTTGTATGTCATTTCTGAGCTGAGATATGTAGGTTTTTGTGGAGATGAGATGTAAAAAACAGCTGCTAAAACTGGTCTCCCAGAAACAAGAAGTTTTCTCTGCGCAACCAACAAACTGCGCAACTTTCATTTTGGCTTTATTTGCATTGGACAAGATGGTAGACAATGAGACGCGGGGGATACTCTCGGAGGTGGCACTATAGTTGCCGAACAGCGATCGGTAACTTACATATAGCTCGGGCCCTGCCGTAGGATAGCGGTATGGGGACTATTGTTGCGTGTCGGTAATTTTTTAATGCAGTTAATCCTTGTTTTGCCGCCATCTAATCGCCGTACAAAAATCCGTTGCGTTGCGCGAAAATGTCGTGCACAGTTAATACTACTTTTGACACGATTGAATCGCCGCGAAAAAATGCGACTTTTACATATGCGTGAGGCTCTGTTTGGGGTAACTGTCTGTGTTGTGAGGCTCTGTTTGGGTTAACCTTTTTGCATAGTTCATATGGGACCATTATTCGAAAGATAGCCAAAAAAATTATTTATTATAATCTTACGGTCAGAATGGTGAACAGACTTTAGACAGGTTTACTAAAGTCAGGGCAAGTCTTTGCTTCTGACAATTGTTAGTTGTTGCATTTTCTTTTCTCCTTATGTAGACTCAGACTGAAAGGCAGTCCTCTAAACGGAGGTCCAGGTCCCACATTCAAAATAATCTTAAATTTAAACGCACAGCAGACTGTTTGTGAGGTTATTTGACTAGTTGCGTATCCTTTACAGGACGTTGCAGAACCAACCCAAACATCCCCTGTGTGGTTTTTCTAGGCAAATTTACATCCAGCAGTTTGCCATTGCTTTCTGGGCGGTTGGCTTTCCTGATACCACTGTGGAAACCAAAGCAAGGCGCATGGCCCGCAGCTGAGATCGAACCCGGCATCCCAGCATTACGAAGCGTTTGCATCGACTAAGCCACAGAGCTGACTGACATTGTTTACATTTCTGAATTAGTGGAGTTATCTTGTAGACTGATAACTTGTAATAATACAATGAAAAACATGACCAGCAGCATCACATGCACTTGTCCATAGAATGTGTTGCCACAAAACATGCAGTGTCTTTAACTTTAATCTGGCATGTCATTCACGTTAGTGTTAGAGTTAGGAACTTGGTGGTTAGGGTAAGGCTAACCCCAAACTGGCTAAACTACACTTCTAAAACATTCTATGTGCTTTTGTTAAGAATTTAGAGTGGAGGGCATGGTGTAACACTGCATTGTAGATTTCAGTTGGAATTATTTTTGACACAAAGTGGTTTGTGTTGTGCATTGCTAGTTCAAAAAATGGTAAGTGGCCTGCTGCCAGATAGATAACTTGTGGTGCCTCATACAATGAATTGTCTTTGCAACTACTGATCTGTTATAACTATTGCTGTCATTGCAGATGAGCTGCATTTCTTGTGTCAGCCTATTTTGGCACTTCCTTTTTACTGCCTTATACATTTAATGCATGTGTATGCTATCCATATCATCTTTATTCACAAGGGACGGTGATGGACATTTTTGTGGTTTTTCGTTGGCACACGAATGCAGCATCTTTGGGGTGACCTGGCTGCTGTAAAGTTGGAACTGAATAGGTAGTTAATTATTAAGATAGGGAAAAGACTCGGTGCTTTGAAAGTGATGGCATCAGCAGACAAAGAGCAGAAAATGCTCCGTACACTCTACCAGCAATGCAACTGATCACACCTAAATTAGGAAGCTGGAAGCATGCAAAATGAAGCCATGGGAGTCATTTTGGGATATACATGGGACATGTCAATAGTGTAATCCAGGCAAAAATGTACCTTTAAGTGGCAATGGACAAGGAACACTTTGTGCATGAAGCTTTAGGGGAGAGCAACTCACATCGGCTGAAAAGGGGTGGCTCTTTGATGGAACAAGCCAAAGTGACTTAAAGTAACTATAAGAAATGTTTTTACTAATGATAAAATAGCGCATGGTGAGGAATGGATCATAATGTCGCCCAGCAGAACACCCCTTGACAGAGGATGCCGGCAATGGATAGTTTGTGAAACAGTCAGTTTTGCAAGAGCTGACCAATGAAAATTTATGCCTAGGTGACATTATTATATGTACAGATGGGTATGTACTGACAGGTTAGAAGAGTGGGTGAGGTTTTATTACAATGGGGAATGGACACTTGATGAAAACACAGAGAGCCTCACGTGCAGTACGAGAATGTAGGTGGAGGCAGTAATGGCAGCTTTATGATGGCTCATGAGCAGTACAGTCTGGCATGATGTAATTGTAATGGACTCGAGAGCATGCTTTAGACAATTGAAACTGGTGCCCTGCGTGCAGTGCAGCTTACTTTGGTTGATAAGACCGAGATCACGAGCATATCTTGGATTTTCTGCCCAGGAAATTCGAGTGTGCGAGGTAAGGAGCCGGCTGCTAAATTAACTGCTGCCATTCCTTTGTGTGGTGAGCTACTTTATAATAAAGTCAACGCGGTGAAGACTCTCTGGGATCAGATGGAAAGTGCAGTAGAGCAGAGAATCCATACACTGAAAGACTGATTTAACAGGGATTGAGGAGTGGTTATGGAAGATATTTATCACTAAGGGGGAAACAGATGTACTTTTAATTAGGTTGCAACTTTTAACAAGGATTTAGACTTCTTGATACCGGTGAGAATCTAGATGTGTGTATTATACACTTAATACTGTACCAGAATCACACGTGCAATTTTTCCTGGACAACTGCCTGTTTGGCCTGCTGTTTTCAGCTGCTGAGCTGAATGAATCATGTTATTACGACTATAAAAGTAAAGAACCCTTTTCCACACCTTCACGCATATAGGGCTAGACCTGTATTTTATAGACCAGTAAGCACATGTTGACTGATGTGGTTAACATCACGCTGGTCGCCTTTGCTTCCCAGGACTTTACCTGGTGTCCCATTTGAAGTTGGGTCGACCTGAAGGCCAAGATCATTTCTGAAGAAAGGTCTGCTGTGTCTGGGCCTGAACCCACGACCTTCAAATCTGCAGGCAAGCATCTGTTGCTATTATTACTAAAACAGTGTGAAAAACAGTGATGCAGCCATTTGACCTATTTGTTTTTGCTGTTTATAATAGATGGCCGTGCCACCAGGCAAGACACCTATTAGTTATTTACAAGAGTATGCTACCAAGCATGCCATTACACCTCAGTATGATCTCATTGCCAATGAAGGAGCAGTACACGAACCTACATTCATCATGAGAGTTACGATTGGAGACAAAGCAGTCGCTACTGGCAAAGGTAGTTAATACTTGCATGTTGTCCTGCGCTCATGAAGATGACTGTTCCAATGTACTTTAAGGAGGCATGGGTATCATAGTATGTGGTGATATAGCCATGTCTGCTTATAGTACAGTGGAACACTATCTTATGAAAGGGTGTCAGCAAGGTGGTGCCACATTTACATCATCTTAATATCTCTATATCTAAAATCCCAGCCATTTTTAATCTTAATTTTTTTTTTTTTTAAATCCTCATGAACAGTTTCATAAACCTGTTATCCAGCACTTTCATCATTTTCTAGCAAGTAGACATCAGAACAACCTTTATCTTTGCTTGTAACAAAAATAGGATTGCCCCACATCCTTATTTTTTAGCATGTGTCCTCATTTCAAGAAAAATCTGAGCAACAGCAAACAGTTTAGGACCTTTTTAGATTTGTCTGCAATCTGTTTGTCTTCCGGAATTGAGGACTGGCAAGGATGTGCACATGGGTGATTCAAAGTGCTGTATTTAATACTGCAATCTAGAGAAATTATCTTCCACCTTGAAAAAATCAAATACCTTCACAAGACATGTGGTGGAACTATATTAAAAACTGTAGTAGTGAGATGTACTCACTCCAAGAACAATGGACCATTGACAGAAATCATCTTAGTGTGGATACATTCAATTCAATTTCACTTGTAAACTGTAATTTTAGACATTTCACATGCAGGAAATTTTATGGAGATTTGATGGGAAATGAAGACATTCTAAAAAAGAAAGATCAAGTCATCAGAGAAATATAATCAATTTCAGTTGTGTCTTAGGAGGTGTTCTCATTACAGAAGATCAAAATATGGAAGTGTATCCATTTTGGAAGATCAGAATATGGCAAGGTTTTTATTTGTAACACCTTTTTCTAAGTCCAAAGGAAATTAAATTCATATAATTTGCACTGCTTGGGCACGAACATATTTGTTTACACTTATTCAGTCACACCAATAAAAGAGCAACTGTTTGGTCAAAATTGTAAATACAGGTAGGCTTGCAGGGAGAAAATTCAGATTTGCAATCTAAATTTGCTGCACTAAATAGCACTCCAGGCACAAGGAACTATTTGAATCACAGACCCCTTGTTTAAAACACTGGTTTCATCCAGAAAGCCAAAACACACAAAATGTGATCCCCCACTTCCAAAGATAAAATTGACCACTTATTCCGAATACCAGTTTTGAATCTCCAAGTCTTTTCCCTAAATCAAGAGACTGTGGATGGTATGCAGACCAGATAATGGATTCCCTTAAATATGCAGTGATCAATCAGATATTTAATCAAAACTATCCTAGAAGCAGAGGGATAGTGGTATTCACAGATGGCTCATCATAGAAGTAAGCGGAATCCATATTGAATGGACCAGTGATATCAAAATATGAATGCAGCTATGAGTGACAGATGCTTTATTCAAAACAGTATTTTCCTGTAATGAATTTAAATAATGCGGATACAAACAATACATTGCACAATTTATTGCCAGGCATATTTCACACAGACAGTGCTTTCCGTGTGGTTTACCACACTCCGAACAGGAGACCTTTGAGAATTGCCGAAGCTTTAACAATGAAAATCAACAACCCCCTCTTTTGTAAGCAGACAGAATTAATCGTAAATTTGAAATTGCCCTAGTAAGTCACATGACTACGATGAGCTTCCGGCGGCCATGAAACACACACAATGTATCGGAAGAAACTATTAGCATTTCAGTTGAATTTTTTCAGTTTTGTGCTTTATTTTATGTTGATGTAACTATGTAGTAACACACCTGATGAGATACCGCGAACTATGCCTGGCAATGTATTGTTTGTATCTGCATTATTTAGATGCTTTATTATTGCAAAAAATGCAAAATAATAAGCAACTACAGTTCAGCTCAGATAAAAAAAACCTTGATAAGCAAGCTTAGATTCTTTTTGAATCAAATGTGCCTGCTGACCAAGCAAACTGTTCTTCCATGGATCCCTGACAATTGTAACAATGATGGAAATGAAAGAGTAGACTATTTTGCAAAATTTTGAAGTAATATCAAGGCAGCCATTAGAACCCTTTGGAACATTTTACATCCTGAACACAGTCCTGAAGACTCAAATCAACCTCCCTATACAGAAGAAACAGACCATTGTATTTGAATTATAAACATGACACAACAGAGTACACTATCGTGGGAATATATGGCACAAACAATAGTGAACATGCCGAGTGAGACCTATTTAAAAAAAATATGAGATAGTAATTTAAAAAAACAGCTGCACGTTGATTTTGCTGTACATATTGTCTTTATATATATAATTTTTTTGGGGAGGGGGGATGGGGGATGAAGCATTGTTTGCTTAATCATATATTGATCTGGTTGCTTTTAAGATAATTCAAGTTTTTATCCTGAATGTTTTCTTCTGCCATTTGCCCCCAACCACAGTGAAGCAAGTACCTCAGTCAGCTGATATCATCTCATCTTGTCCCTTGTCATCTCATGCAACTTGTTTAATTTCCTTCTGTAAAGTTTCTCATCATTTCCATGGTCGTGTGATGTACATATCATATTAAAAAGAATGACAGTTTAAGTCCATGCTGTTTCAACCAGACAAAGCTGTAAACATATTTCAGTTATTTTTCACATTTTTTTTTTTTTTTTTTTTTTTTTTTTTTTTTTTTGGTATTTAATTATTGCTGTGAATAGGGTTCATATTTTTAAAAATATTAAAACCATTGAAACTCTTTTGAAGGGTCAAGTAAGAAAAAGGCCAAGCACGCCGCTGCACAGAATGCTCTCAACATTTTAATGGGTGTCACAGTCAACGGTAAAGAAGAGGAGACGGAGGAGCCTGAGGTGTAAGTAATTTCTTATTCTCCTTGTCGCTTTACAATTTAGATACATTCATTCATTCATTCATTCAGTAGCATGTCCCTCGCGGAACCTCGCTGCCATAACAACACTCCGGAAAACCTTCCTATCCTGAGCAAGATGTCCTGCGTCTGATACACCCATCTGGAGATCATCTGCCACATCCTGCACCCATCTTCTCCTTGGCCTTCCTCTTCCTCTCTTCCCAGGCATATACCCCTCCATTATTGTTCTCTCTAGACTTCCATGACGTTTCAAGTGACCAAAATATTTCAATTTTCTTTGTTTTATTGTCTTTACTAGCCAACCCTCTTCAGTATTCAGCTCTTGAAGTATGGATGCATTTGTTCTTTTCTTTACCCAAGATATTCTTAGAACCTGTCTGTAACATTTATATTCAAATGCATTTATGCGCTGTTCCGCTTGTTTAGTAAGTGTCCAGGTCTCACAGGCGTATGTTGCAATGGGAAAGATGCATGCTCTTAAAAATCTGACCTTTGTAATTCTATCTGTACAATTCCATAATTTATTCAGTTGTTTTAGTCTTTGAAGAGCAATTGATAGTCGCCGTTTAATTTCTTTCATTGTGTCACCATTGTTGGTAACCAGTGACCCAAGATATTAGAAATTTTCCACCACTTCCAATCTTTCCTCATTAACATATATTTCCTTCTCCATGGCAGTTTTGTTTGTATGCATTATCTTTGTTTTTGCTATGTTAAGAAATAAGTTATGATTTTCACTATTTCTTTGGAGTGAGGTTAATAAGTTTTCTAAACCATTTTGTGATGTTGATAGTAATACTGTATCATCAGCATAACGAATTTCTGGTATTTCATGACCACCGATGTTTAGGGCATCATATTGTTCCTTGTTTATATCATCTCTTACATTTCTCATTATATTTTCGGCGTACAGGTTGAACAAATACGGTGACAGCACACATCCCTGACGGACTCCTTGCTTGATGCCAAACCAGTCTGATGTCTCTCCATCTATTCTGACTGCTGCTTGTTGGTCTTGATAGAGCATTTTAGTGAGCTGTACTATATGTGATGGAAAGCCCATATTCCTCATGATTTCCCAAAGCTTCTGATGTTGTACACAGTCAAATGCTTTTGAATAATCCACAAAACATAAGAACAGATTTACATTAAATTCTCTACACTTCTCTATTATTAAACGCATGTTGAATATATGATCTCTTGTTCCTCTTCCCTGTCTAAATCCAGCCTGAGCTACATTAATCTCTTCTTCCATTTTCTTATGCAATCTTCTCATTATAATTTTTAGTAGAATTTTACTTGCATGACTGATCAGGGCAATAGTTCGATAGTTTGTACATAATTTCAGGTCACCCTTTTTTGGTATTGGAATGAAGATAGTTCTCTTCCAGTCTTTTGGCCAAATACCATATTTCCATATCTTTTCACATAATGCATGATAGATTTTTATGCTTTCTTCTCCTCCCGCTTTAATCAATTCAGCTGGTATCTCGTCACATCCAGGTGATTTACCATTTTTCAGGCTCCTTATTGCCCATGAAATTTCATCTAATGAAGGTTCAGGTTCTGCCTCTACTGTTACTGGTTCATGTATATCATTCATATCCTCACTGTCATTCATATCATACATTCCGCTGCAGTATTCCTGCCACCTTCCTAGAATATTAATTAATACTGTGCGCTTAAAAATATAGTGAATACTAATGTAAAAATTTTATTTCATGTTTCGAAGATTATCTTTATCTTTATTTAAATATCAGCAGATCCACATGTGGGTTCCAGGGCCCTGTTGTAGGGAAAACATAATAGACCCACTGCCTACCGAAAAGCATGTTGTAAGAGTCGACTAATTGGGAGCTTCCTTCAAAGTCGGAGTGCACCTGCCTGAGAGGCGTGGAACCAGTAGCTGCATGCAAATGAGTTAAATTTATAAAAAAGATGCACACGCAACACTCATAGGAAAAGTTAAAAAGTCCAGAAGTGGACAAACAACCAGAACTTTCCCCCAGAGTTTACAGCTGGTGAACGCGAAGAAGAATATCAGCACAATAAAATTGTAATAAATAATTGATAAATTCGATTATTGTTTATTGAGTCCATATTACTATCCTTGTCTTGCTCAAAATAACTATTCATATCTAATATAATACACATTTTGTTCTTCTGGTAGAACTGTTACCCCTGGTCAAACTAAGGAGGAGGATGTTGGCAATCCAATTGGAGAACTTCAAGAGTTCACTCAGAAAAAGTTGCTTAAACCTCCAGTTTATGAATTTGTTCCGGAGCAGGGACCTCCGCATGCAAGAGAATTTATATGTAACATTAAGCTTGGAAAGTTCACAGACAAAGGTACATATTCATCATCATCACCATCTTGTGCCTTTTATATGTCACATGGGGCTCACAGTAAATTCCTCTATTCTATTCTATCCTGTGCAGACCTTTAGGTATCATGGTTGGAATCCAGTCCAGCACATTTGGCTTCCTCAATCCAGTTGTTTCAGTGTTGTTTAATTGATTCTTTCACTCTTTCTTCTCTCTCTCTCTCTCTCTCTCTCTCTCTTTCTCTCTCTCTCTCTCTCTCTCTCTCTCTCTCTCACATTTCTCCAAAGATGTGCCTGGTATATCACACATCTTCTTAGTCTCAAAACTTGATAGCAGCGGGTGGTCATACATTTCTCTTTTTCCTTTTCCATTCCTAAATTGATCCCATTTAAAAATTTTATTTTCACATGCATTTAATTACCTTCTTTTAGTGGCAGAACTAACAGTTGTGTGTATACTATTCATTTACATGTGTAGTTATCATTGTGTTGGGAAAGTCAGTCAGTCACGTTATTTAGTCGTAACATGAGATTTATAGCAGATAATTCTTTCTATTAATCATGTCACCCCCAGAAAGCTGGTTTTCTGACTTGTAGGGGCTTTTGATGACGTGAAGTTTTTGGGAAATGGCCAACAGCCTTGGTACTTTACACCTACTATGTGTGTGTCATTGTGATATTATAATAAAGTTATGATGACTTTCACTTTGCTGTATGGCTGTGTTAACAAAACCTGTTTTCTTGGCAAAGGGAAGGAAAGCGGTTATTTTTTTTGCTGCTTCTGTATTTAATGAAATCACCCTTGTGCAAAATAATCAATGAATCAGTCAAACATTGACATCCTTGCACTCAGGACATTCCCACACGTGGTCTGTCTCTTTCCTCAGTAGACCTGTTGATAGGCTTATAGTACCAGATTAAATGTCTGCCTGTGTTTGCCCTTGAGTGTTAAACATCTCCCAGAACCTTTGCCACCCCACTGTTTAATTAGTCTTTCAAGGTGTTTGTACTTGTGTCTCTGTTCTGTTGTCCACCTGATCACAGAGAGCATTTACAATGTCCCCTTTATCATAAACTGAGAAAGCTAAAAAAAAATTTTTTTAACTGATATTTAAGGCCAAAAGGGTTAAAAAACACAGAAGACAGTTATCATTTTTTTTAATGAATACACAGTCAAGATAATATCCACAGAGAGATTCACATGTCAGCCTAGATAGAATTCAGAATTTCCAAAATGTAACTGCCTTAGTTGTATAATTACCAACAATGGGGACTTAACAAACGAGGTTGAAAGGAGAGTTGTGCCAAATAAATAGATGGTCAACAGTATTAAGTGCCTAGTGCAGATTGGCAGCCAGTAACAAGTTGAGAATTGCCTAATTTCTCTGGCAGTATGCAAATGTATATCATAAGTCACTTTACTAGGAAATATGGGCCTTTGATTGAATTTATTTTCCCCTAGTGTGGGGGGGGGGGGGGGACCAATTACCCCCCACCAAGCAAGTTGTATAAGGCACCTATGGGGGGGGGGGGGGGGGTCCTTCAGATTTAAAGTATACCTGCCTCAGCAGTGCGGAACAAACTTTCTGCATGCATATTAGCCAGATCTGTAATGCAGATCTGCATGCAAAATCAAAACTTCAGAACTTGCGGAACTTGGAATGGTAAAAAAAAAATATGGTAGGAAAGCCCTTTTCCTGCATTAAGGTAGAGATTATATCTCCTAGCCTCATAGTTTGACACCTGGGTGATGTAATTAGTTTCCTGCAAGCTACTTTTACTTTTCATGGTGCTTCCTGGTACCCCTGTTGATCATTTGTGAGCTCAGGTTGTTGGAAAATCTCACCTTGAAGTAAATGACCTGGACATATATTGACAAACTCACTAAGTACTATGCCATCTGTTGTGACTTTTTTTTTAAGAAGTAAAACATATTTCTTTGATTTATGTAACAGTAATTTAACATCTAAAAATACTTTTTTAATGTCTGGGGTGCCATGTTAGAAATTCAGTCAACACCACTTTATGGTCATGCTTTTCTTGTGTACTAATTCAGGAACTGGGCGATCTAAGAAAACAGCCAAACGTGTTGCGGCTGCAAACATGTTGGCTCAGCTGAAAGCCCTCTCTCAGGACAAGGAGACTGAAAAACAGCTGGAAGATTCTGATGAGGATGAAGAAATACCACTGGTAAATACTGCACATATATTTATTTACATGCTGGTTATTTTGTTGGAAATCTGTGAAATGTCTGTTTAGAAGGCTACAAACTTCTTCTGACAGATCGTTCTAACCTTTGCCATTGCATGCAGCTCACCCAATGTCTTCCCCATATTTTTGACTTCACTGTCTAGCTCCCTTCTCTATGTATTATTTTTTTTTCTGATCTGCTTTTATTTCTGTGCCACTGTGGATTCCAGCGCAGAGGCATTCTAGTTATATTGTACTCAGGTTTACTCAGTCTTTGTCCTTTCCACCGCCAACCTAGTGTCTTTTGTTCATCTCTCGGTCCACTAAAACTTGCTTAGTTCTCTGCCAAAGCTAAGCATTAGTGATTCTATCATACTAAACTTCGCATTTCAAGTTTTGTTTTTGAAAATTACTGATAAATAATTAAATATAGTACATAAATTTGGCTTAGGCATTGCGAACGGGCTTCGTAGTGCCGGGTTTGATCCCAGATGCGGACCTTGCGTTGGTTTTGACAGTAGTATCGAGAAGCTGACCGTCCAGAAAGCAGTGGCAAACTACAGGACCTAAATTTGTCTAGACAAACCACAACAGCCAAAAAGTGATGGGGTTGGTTCTGCAACATCCTGTAAAGGATACACAGCTAACTTTATCATAAATATGGTAATGTTTTGTTAGATATATTCTTAAGTTGTAAAGAAGTCACAAACTTATAAGTCCAGATGAGAGAGAAGAGTTGTCATGGGGTCAGATCACCTATCCTATAATACAATGATCTTGCTACATATACTCACATTGAAAGGATTGAATAGAATAGAACAGTCATTTACTGCGAACCCTGTGTGAAATGGAACAGCAAAGTTTGATAGGAAAGCCACAGCAAGGATTGTTTTTAAAGATTCAGAAAGCCTTTGAAAGTTATAAGAAAAGTATATACTTGAGAGTATGTTTAAGTTTAGACTTTACCAATGCTTTAATATATTTTGATGCTTACAAGCAACAGCGGTTTTTGGCATCTTTCCAAGCAAGATGATATATTGTGCCAAAATAGGCATGGGCAGCTTGCCTAAATACACTGCTGAAACTAAGTTATACTTTATGGAAGAAGAGGCAGAGGTTGACCAGCACAAAGATACTTAAAACATTGTGGACATGAAACTAAACAAGTTACTTGCCTAGTGGTTATTGACAGGCTGTGTTATTCTGCACAGAACCTGCTGTATAGTTGTAAACTCTGTAAAGTTTTTCACTGTAAGTAAAGGTTAAGTCGGGAGATGTGAACCTGCGTCATTGCACATGGTTATAAACCATAAGTGCTCTGCCACTAGTACAGGCAGCTGATAAGAAACTGCCCGCCTGTGTCACCGTCCTCATAAAACTCTGTAGCTGCAGTGATGTTCCTCCATTTACCCACAGAGTGTTAACTCTGGTACCCATTTCCTAGAGAGTGGGTGAACCCTGGAAACCACAGGTTTCAAACACCGGCCATGGGCTGCAGCGAGGATTTGAAAGCGAGTCTCCTGTTGACTATGCTAACGTGGCTCAAAGTACACTAACAAAATTGAAAACCAGACCAATAGGAATATTACTGCACTCAAGGCAAATTCATTGTCTTGTGTATAGACCTATGTCAGTTTCACAGGTGTGCTTCAGATCAATTATTTTCCCTCTGTCATTTAAATAAAATAGATTCATAGTCAGATAATGCATGAAGTATTGAGTTTTAAGAGATGTTCATCATCAAAATAAAATATTCCTTTTCTTTTTCCGCCAGGGCTTTGACAAATCCAGCTACACAGGCCTAAAACAGTCAAAGGGGAAAGCAAAGACAGTCAACACACAGTCAGCCCTGGAAATTCAGCGATTCTATGAAAAAGTCATGGTTGCTGGAGGCAAACAGGTTAGAGGCCAAGGGCAAACATTGACCCCGCCCACAAACTACTGCCAGATGTTACAGGAGATAGCTGAGGTGCAGAGATTTGAGGTGCAGTACTTTGATATCAAAGATGACAGCGTTGTGGGTAGGTGGCTTATCATTTTTGCAGTTCTAAAGAAAAAACCGTCTTTACTGAATCTCAGTGTTAATGGGCACATGACCCGCCTATGTTCAGGGCCCCCAGCCAAGACCAGAGTGGGGCTTCAAAATAACAAAAAATTGCATCCCCTGAGGGGATGACTTCATCATCATCAGGTGCCTTGCCCACTGGCATGGGCAATCATGCCTCTCCACAATCTGCGATCTCCTGCGTCATGAATGTTGTTGTTGTTATCGATCCAGCGGCGCATGAGCTTTCACCCTTTGGCCCAATGCCATGTAGTGGAATTTGCATGTTTTCACAAGCTTATCTTTTCCTCCGTACAAGGTGTTCCACTTGTCTGGTCTCGGAGGGAGTAGCGTTCTTCTTGTCTCACTGAGTTTTGGGCACTCAAAGAGATGGTGTTCAACAGTTTCGTAGGGGTAGTTACATAGCTGGCACTCTGGGGAGTGGTTTAACTGTATTCTGTTTAGATGTCCATTGAGTGGAGTATGTTGCGTTCTAAGTCTGAAGATGGTGGCCTGGTCCCTTCTTGTTAGATGGTTAATGCTGTCATTAGGATCAGGGCCAGACATATGTCTAAACACCTCTCTTCCAGTGTCTCCCATGGCCCATCTGTTCAACCAAGTCTCTTTGTTTATAGCTCTTATAAGTGTTTTTGCTGTCTGGAGGGTTGTCGCTGTAGGTGGTTGTTCTTGTGTTGCTCCTTTCTTTGCCAATCTGTCAGCTCTGTCATTACCTGGTGTGCCGGAGTGACCTGGAATCCACTGCATCACTATTCTGATGTTGTATGAGGTAATAAGCTGATCAGCATCCAGGATTATCTTGGCTATTTCAGTTCTGCAGCGTTCACTGCCCTCCAGAGCTCAAAGGACAGATATTGAATCTGTAAAGCTGACAATATTTTGGACCTTTGAAGGGTAAACATCCATTACAGTCTTTAGGTGGTATACTGCTGTTTCCAGTGCAATTATTTCAGCTTCATAATTTGAACAGAATTCCCCGAATGCATAAAAAATCTCTTGAACAGATCCATCGGGATAACCTATGTAGATTCCGTAACCTGCTTTAATGGTAGCTTTAAATGCTGATCCATCAGTATAGACATGTATCCATTCTTAGGGGTAAGAATCAACGGTCTTTAGTGATGAGTTCATAAGAGCGATTGGGTCGGACTGTTTGGTTTCCTCGCCTACCAATTTAATTCGGACTTCTGGAGCTTTAAAGCGAGCATGTGGTGGTAGGTTTCTTGCAACATTCTGAGTTCCTTGACGTCTTTCTGGGAGGTGGTATCTGTCCTGAATTTCATTAACACAGTGTAAAACCGATTTGTGCTTTATTCTTTGCTTGTATTCCCAGTTTTCTACAAGATGTCTGTTAGGATGGTTACGATTTTTCCCAACGCATCTTTCAAAAATTTCTGAAGTGGCTTTTTCTCTCCGCAGCCCGAGGGGTTCCACATTTGTATGGATTTCACATGCAGCAGTTGGTGTAGACTGCATAGCTCCGCAGATTAATCGGAGGGCATTATTTTGTACTCTGTCAAGAGTCTCTAGGTTAGTTTTGGAGCAAGTTGTAAGCAGTGAGTTATTGTACTCTATCACAGAGCGAACCTATCCTAGATATAAGCCCCTCAGTTTCCTTGTCTGATCCCCATGATGTACCTGCAAGTCTCTTTAATAACTGTAACCGCCTCAATGCCTTATTCCTGACGTTTTCAATATGGTTCTTGAGGCTGAGCTGCGGGTCAAGTGTGACTCCAAGGTATGTGGGATGCTCTTCTTTCATCACTTGGTGTTTGTCTAACCTCAGGTTAATATTCTTCCTTGCTACTTGGTGGCTTTTGGTAAAGATTGTGTAAACCGTCTTTGCACAGTTAACCTTGAGTTTCCATCTTTGGCAGTACTCATGCAGTCTTCTAAGGTCTCCATTCAGTCTTTGGGCTGCACTTTCCACATTTTCATGACTCTGCCATATTGCTAGGTCATCAGCGTACAAGGCTTTTTCGGCCTTGATTTCTTCTGGCAGGTCATTGATAAAGAATTAGGAACAGTGTACAGCTCAATGATGAACCTTGTGGCAAGTCCTCCTCCAAGACTTCTTTAGAAGAGATTGCGTTGTGCATCTTAGTCTGGATTGTTCTATCTATCAGAAAGTATTTCACCCAGTTATACAATCTGCCATGTATTCCTATGCTCATCATCTTTATCAGGAGACCTTTTCTCCATACTCTGTCATAGGCCTGCTGGAGGTCGACAAAGACGGCCACTGTGTGTTTCTTATTCTGGAAGCCATCATGTATTCTTTGTGTCAGTCTGAACAGCTGTTGGTTCTGAAGCCCGCCTGTTCATGGCATAGAACACCAGAACTCTCAAGGAACTAATATAAGCGCCTGTTTATCATTCTTTCTGCAACTTTGCCCAAGCATGATGTTAAGGATATCGGGCGGTAGCTTTTGGGGTCATCTGGAGGATTTTTGGTTTTAAGAATGGGGACGATATATGCATTCCTCCATGCCTTTGGAAGTTTGCTTGACCTCCAAGTTTTATTAATAAGCCTGAGAACTACTTCTCTCCCAGACCGGCCAAGATGTAGCAGCATTTCGTTGTGGATCTTATCTGGGCCTGGGGATTTTCTAGGTTTTAATTTCCTTAGGGCTTGCTCTAATTCATTCATGCTAAATTCATTTTCAAAAAGGGAGTCGCTGGCTGTTGGAGCTCTCTCTTGTTTCTTCAACTGAGAGAGCTGTGTTCTATCGAGTTCTGACAGCTTACCAGCTCACCTTACCTGCTCTGTTAACTGTGCCGACACACCTCCATGCCATGCAACAAGACTGTCAAGCATCTTCTCTCGTTGTCTTCCTCTATCCCTCCTTCCACAGATCTTTCCAGTGGTCACAACATGTTCTATTTTCCCTCTTCTCATAATTTGTGTGTGTGCCCTGGACAGAAAACAATCCATTACCATGCCAAGGATTTGAATGTAGGGCTAGACCTATATTTTATAGATCAGCTGTGAATAATAGTCTGCAGTAATGCACCTAATAAGAAACTATGAAATATGCCAGACAATCAGTTGTACAATGTATTGTTTGTGTCCGCATTATTTAAATTAAAAAAAAAAATTAAACTTGATTTCCCCCTTAAAAGTTAATCAGTCTGTGACATTTAAACATGTATCTTCTGCATCATGTGTTAGGAACACGGCCACCATGTGTCAGAGTAATTAAAAATAAAAAATAATTTTTAACAAATGAAGTTCATAACCCCCTTTCCCACAGTGGGGCATCAGGCATTCACAGGGAGACTCATATTTCTGTAGACAAAATGGCACTAAATAGTGATGTGGGCAGCAACACGCCACCCTCATTTACTTTTCAGTACTTTACCTGGTACCCATTTTATGCTAGGTGGACCTGGGAGCCATCATTTTGTTTAAAAGCTGACTATGTGAATTTGAATCCATAACCTTTGGGGCAGAGGTGAGTGTCTAGCGGCTACACCACTGTAGCTCCCATGGATCAGTTAAAAGTGTAGAATTAAATGTTTCACTTGGTAGTTTGGTTATGTTTAAATAGGTAATGCCACCCTTAGTTTATTATCTGTAACATTGTAACAGAGAGCATAATGGCTAGACTCCTTCCAGCTAGGTCAAAGGTCAGGGGATCTTGGCTACCATGTCGACCCAGCCTTTAATGGGTACTCCTGGGTAGTAAAAGTGGCTAGCCTGATATTAGCCGCATCACCCACCTAATGTCAATTGGTTTATAACAGTATTAGTCTAGCATCATATACCCATTTTAAAAAAGTCCTTACTTTTACAGCCATGTAACATTAACGCATAGTTTGTCACTTTTAAAACTTCTGTTTTCATTTTACACAGGTGTCAATCAGTGCTTAGTTCAGTTATCAACTGTCCCCGTTGCTGTGTGTCAGGGCACTGGGCCAATCATGGATGAAGCCCATGCCAATGCAGCACACAATGCTCTCCAGTATTTGAGAATCATGATTAAGTAACAGCGGTGCCCAGGAGATGCCATAGTCTCACACTGACCAAGTGTATAGATGGAAGACTTTGAGAACCAGTGCTTGCTACAGAACTGACATTTATTACTGCTCACCTCTTTTATTCAGCTTAAGTATGGGCTGTTACATTTCAAAACCTGACAGGAAATTTATCACATTGTTAATTTGGAACCTGAGATAGATGACAGTTATGTGAAAGGAAACTTGTTGCCTAGTTGTTATTGTAGTCTACTTTTATATAATCAGCTTTATACAAGTGTTTATCATTTGTTCATTTTGAGGTTTATAACTAAATTAAACTTGAAAGTATGATTAAGTTTAGAGTTTACCAATACTCAGATATATTTAAATGGACAGTGTCAGACCAGAAAAATCAACACAACTGTCTTCTTCTTCTGTGTTTGCCATGGAAAGGGTATTTGGCATGATATTTTGGTGTCTTGCCTGGTGTCAGTTGTGATATCTGTGCCAATCAACCCAACACCGATTTCAGCAAACCCCTAATTTGAGTCCTTTTATGAAATGCTTTTTAGTGGGCCTGTTCTTTTTCCCCGTAATGGGACCCTTAAATAGAACTGACTCTTATAAAGTAGAGTGAGCTGAAGAAAGAACAGTACGAAACTTATAATTTAAAAGCTTTGTGATAATAAATAATATTTCGGTTCTGGGAAGGTTTTAGTGTGATGTCTCAAAGTCATATAGGAACAGTTGGTTCATGGTGTGAGATTATGTGATATCCTGGGATGGGCCAGGTTTTTTTGAGAGAGAGGAGTGTCCTAGGTTTGTGTGATTTTGTGTTGTAATTTTCTTTTCATCACTGTTTTCTTGTAAAAAAATGTTTTGCAATTACTTGTCATGTGTTCTAGAGCAGGTGTGGTATCCCTGGTTTTGCACTGAATAATTTAAATAGCAACTAAAATAAAGCTTCGGGATAAATAAACTACAACAATGGGTTATTTCTTCGGCTACCACATTGTTGTGTGTTCTTCTACGTCATCAGATAATGATGGTATGAAACCAACTTGCTTTTTATCTGTTTATTTTTATGTGTGTTAAATTTGCTCTGTTCTTTACATTGTTTTTTGTTAGGTTTGCGGTAGTTTCTGTTATGCAGTAAATTTGTCTTTTTTTAACGATGAAAAACATGGGTGGTGATAAATATAAAATTGGTAATAAATATCAAATTGCCAGAACCTTCGTAAACTATAAATATATCAAATGATGACATTGTCATTGATGAACACAATTTTAAGAAAGGAATAAAAAATCTTCTTGAAAAAATCACAGCTACTCTAAGCAGTTATTATCTATCTGCAATCTTTGAATATATAATTTTTTTTTTCTGCAGTATGAGACATTACTGTATGTGGCATAGTATTATGAACTTTTCCTGACAGAATGGTAGTTAAATCTGTGTTTAACATCTTTGCTGTTGTTTAAAGCTTAGATTTTTCTCTGTCATTCAGCATCTACTTTTATTGGTTTTATTTTCCATTAAATGCAGTTAATTTTGGATTTAAGTTTGTGGGAAAACCAGTTAACCAAAAATGATAATCAGAAACCCAAAGCTTTAAGGCAGTAGATACATGTCTGACCATCTGCAACAGGTTCCACTCTGAATTGTTGGCTTCTCATGAACCCTAATCTGGTTCCTGGTATATCTTAGATAAATAAAGTGCATGCAAAGACATCATATTGTTCATCTAACTCCAGCTGGATATCTCACCTCTCATAATATGCATAAAGTCCATTTGAGAAAACTGACTTGTGGCTAACTAGGAAAAATAATTCTTGTTGCTGCCACTGTTTGGCTGTTTTTCTATTTTATGTCAGGTGTTAATAGTCATTGTGTCATACGTGAATGTTTCTCAATATGTAATGTCATGGAGGGTATAACCAGAAATTTATTTGACTGGTGTGTGCTTGTTTCATTTTGTCCCTTCTTGAGAGTCATTTCATTATGTTCTTGTCTAAGGTAATTGATGTATGGAATATTTTACGAGCAACTACACAGGCTGTCCTTAAGGCAGGCTGTCCTTTGATATTAATGATACTTTCCAGTGTTTGATGACAGTGATATCCATTAGCAGAGTGCATATAAAGTCTAAAGTCCTGGGGATAGCATGAGCTTCTTTGCACTGGGTTATATCTTATTTGGCTGGGCCCTTGTCTGCCAGATAGAAATTCTTTCTGTCTAGAGCTGGGCACAAAGCGGGAACGTCTTTGTTTGATGATTCCTCGGGATCTTCATAAAAAGTGCACCGATGAACTCACAAGACAGGTGGCTTCAGCTGTTTAGCCAGCCGTAGACACCCCCAAGAGTTTGGATATAAATGGTCTGACGACAGACTTAAATGTGAACTTGCTGAAATCATTTGTTAATGAGGAGAGTAATCTTCAATCACCAGGATGTCTGATATTGCGTAGTTTATGATGCTTTTTAACAAAACTAGTGACTGAGATTGTTTTTTTTTTTTTTTAAAGAAAGAAAATGTCACCAATTTTAATGTAATATAGATTGGTGATCAGATCAAAATATGGAGGTACGTTTGTACTTTGCATTTAAAGGCGTTGTATGCATTTTCATACAGTATTGCATCATGGGAGAAGAAACCTTACAACTATTGCCTTTTATTAGCAGTAAAGTTCCTTTTGCTGTGAATTATTACTAATTTTTTTTCTTTTTTTTTTTCATGTTCAAGTCATCTTTGCCACGATTTCCAAAGTGGCATACTTTGGTTGTCAGTGATGTAGAACTCTGGCTTTTAAGGGAACATCTCAGTTTTACAGTTTTGTGTGTTCAGTTTTGTTCTGTGGTGTGATGTAGATTTGATTGAAAGACAGGATATGCGGAAGTCTTGTGATGGGTTTTCTGGTTTCACAGCAGGGAGCATTACTGGCAGATGATTAGTGACTGGAGCACTCTCATCAGCAAGGTAGTTGTTATTGTGTGTTGTTTTATTGCTGTATTTGCACTTGGATATCTTTTTTGTTTTAAATGTAAATGGTGTTTCCTTGTAAGCCACTCCCGGACTGCCATAAATAAACTGGTACTTCCACATGGAAACACGGGTTCTTTTTTTTGTCTGTAGGTGTGTGTGTGTGTTTGTTGGCAGACTGGATTATTGTAGACCTTAAAGATGGGGGGGGGGGGGATCCAGGAAGGGTAAGCTAAAGCTTTAAGGTTGTGGGGAAAAAAACAATTCTAAAACCCTTTAAATTTGACATTCGTGTAAACAAATATTTCAAATGCTGGGTGAAATTGAACTTTTATTTTAGTAATAGTAGGTGCTGTCCAGAACATAATTTTGCGCATGCATTGATTGCAGTCTGTCCATTCGTTTTTTAAAATTTGAACAAAGAAGACACAAACAGTAGATTACATTATTTATTGCCTGGCATATTTCACTGTATCTTGTCAGGTGCATACTACAGTAACAATTGATTAAAATGAAGAAAACAAATAAACCTTCAAACTGAAATATAAAATCTACAACAATGCACAAGAACATAACGACAACAAATCAGGTGACTGGTCAAAAAATCCATCATCAGCAATAGCGTGCCATCTTCTAAATTCTGGGCACGTGGAAAACAAGGACAATGCATTTCTAATTATTTACACTTCGGCCAACTGTAGATTACTACGATATGCAGAAGCATCAGCGATCAGGCGGTTTAATCCAGAACTTTGCTGATAGAAAGAAATGGTAAAACAATGTGTGAATGTAGTCGATTTTTTTGTTTCATTGTGAAGGTTTATTTATCTGCTTCATTTTAATCAATTGTTACTGCAGTTTGCACCTGATGAGACAGCGAAATATGCCAGGCAATAAATTGTGCAATCTTTTGTTTCTGTCTTCTTCGTTCTAATTCACAATGGGGAAACATTGCTTTCATTTTTTTAAGACTCTTTTTGTACCAAACAACCATTGTTAAATTTCCTGGGCCTTTAAGAAAGATGTCTTCATAGGAACTTCATAGGACTTCAGGTTACGCTTGGCTGATGGAGCTGTTACGATTGCCCTAATTATAACTTCTTTTGAAGTTGAATTGGGTTGAGTTGAGTCAAGAATTGACATCACAGCACTTGGGGCATTCCCATGCTTGCTCTGTCATCATCTTCAGTAGCCAGTTCATCGTTCCAATACTGATGGTACTGGTCACAATCTTGATATATGTCCGTCTTCCCTTTCCTCTGAGTGTAGTGAGCCGGCCACACCCTCTGGTTACACCCAGGTGCCTCATTCTCTCCAGGCCATAATAATCTTCTTTTTCTACTGATTCTGTTACTTGTTCCCAAAGCGCCAAGACCACATCTGCCCTGTCATATATCAATTCATGACCCAGTGGTGCAGATCCAGCCAGTCTGTCTGTTCATTACCCACTACGCCAGCATGGCCTGGAGAAAAGATCCAAAGTATGCTTATTACCTGTGACCTTCCCAGTGAAGCTTGCCACTCTGCTCGAAGCATCCCGGTGATCACCTTTCTCAGAATGCTTTCAGTGTTACAATTATGACATGTGTATGCAGTTGAATTGAGATTCAGGATCTGTCTGTTGGTCTGCCATCCTGACTGAGATATTCAAATCTCAGGATGGTAAGGTAAACCATTAGGTAGCAGCAGAGAAGGGACATACTGATTGATTGACCAAAACTAGGAATGGTAACACTAACTTGCCATGCAGGAAAAGAATAAGATTTGTCCGACATGCTAGACACTACGTGTTGCGTAGCTACCATCGGCATAGCTGTGTTAGTTGGACACACATGCCCTCTACCATTACAAGGTAGAGGCGCATGAGAGGGGAGAACATTGTGTTTTTGACTAGTCCGTCTTTGATTTACATGAAAATTTGTACCTCTCTCTGTGACAATCAGCTTTGTATTTTCTCACTATTTCAAACAGCTTTCATGGGTTCTGCATCAAATAGACTTTTAACTGACCTAAGTCGATGTGTCTAAAAAACCATGAAATATTCTGGGAAGTAAAGGCGACCACACTGACTATCATTTACCGGGTGAGAACAACATCCCACAACTCCATATTTACAACTGCAATGCGATTTTCGATAAGAGCTCCAGACATATCAAGAAGAGAGATTGTCAGAAATGTGCAATCCAGAAGGAAAGGGGAGTAATAGCAGCTTTAGATTTAACAAAAAAGTAAAACGGCTGTGCACGCAACACTCGGGTTCTGGAACAAGAGGTGGACAAATAACCAGAACTTCTGGAGTTTACAGCCGATGAACGCGAAAAAGAAGAAGAAGAAGATTTTTTAAAAAAATGAAGCGGTTCAGTCATCTAACTCGGCTGCCAACAAACAGTACACCAAAACGAGTAGCCATGTTTCTGAAGACAATTTATGAACGGATGCTGATAGAAGACATTTGCTGCGGTAGACAGAGCATCTGTGTGTATGACCGGTGTGCTATGATGTCGATTCATGAATCCGTAAATCAAATTAGCAGTGATTTTCAGACAAAGTGCCAACTGATAAAGAGATCAACTGTGCAAAAAATGCACAGAAGCATAACATCAGCCATCTGAACCTCCATTATACGAAGCACATAATCGGACACTTTCCGGCAGTTTATACTTCGCCTTATCTTGTAAAGTTCAGGAGAATCAAGTGAGGATAAATGGACATATGTCTATGGTCCTAAAAGCGAGGAAATGGAACAATGTTACTGTTTCAAACACAGCAGTAAGGAGACATCTCTCGGGCACTGGCGTATCCTTGATCCAGTTTTATAATAACAGAAAATGACCTTGAAGTATAAGGCATTTATATAAAATATGCCTTATCGCATGTTCATGCATAAGCAACTTTTATCGGCACTTGTGCTATTGAGAAACCAGGTCTGGCCAACAGCTAGGCTAGGAGGCGTAACACACGATTACATAATCTACTGGAGACAGCCGATGTCGTCTGAGCGGACGCACTTCCTAACTGTTCAACTCGGACCTCACCTATAGGTAATGTTCGTTTAATTTCTTCTTGAAATAGATATATTTCCTGTCACACGGTATTGAATCAACAGATCAATATTCTAACTGGAATATTGCCTTTAATTAAACTGGAATAGGCGCGGACAACTTTTGCACTAGAATAACTGTGGGTTTGAATTTTATTGGTAATTTCTGTCACTAGCAACACCATCAGTGTAATCTTTGTGTGCCACCTGTTAAATGTGTGGTCTTGTTAGGACGAAGATCGTTGAGTTCGTGATATAAGTTGTACAAGAAGCTGCTTCACTGTAATTTTCATTTACCGGATTTTGTGGCTGTTAAATAATTATTATTATACAGTTTGGTAATACAGATTGTATGGGAGTTCGTGGTTTAAACACTCGCCTGTGTATCGGAAGGTCGTGGGTTCGGATCCTGACATGGCCGAATTTTTTTCCAAAAATAACCTTGGCTCTCAGGTCAAACCAGCCTTTAGTGGGTACCGTCTTGGGAAGTAAAGACGACCTGCATAATGCTGACCACATCATCCCCCAAGTGTCGTTTGGTCTATAAAATTTAGGTCTAGCCCTATATACCCAATACGCCTGAAGGTGTAGAAAAGGGTCCTTCCATTTTACTTTACTAATAACGATTTAATAAGTAAAAATACATATTTTTAAAAACACCATACGTATCCTACGCTTCGATTATAACAATTTTTGTACCAAACGCAACAAAAATGTTTAAAAACTATATATAACACACACTGCATGACATGGAGGTGTGTCGGCACACGAACTGATACATGCTGCAGGAGATCGTGGATTATGGAGAGGCATGATCGTCCACGCCAATCGGCAAGGCATCTGATGATGATGATAACGCACACTACTACACGTGTCTTGTCTTTAACAAAGTATGCTATTACCGGAGCATACTGCATTACGGTCAACATATGGTCTCTACAGAACTGCCCAGGCTTTGTGCTATGGAGAGAATGAACTTTACCCCTTGCTTATTTGGTCTCGGAAACAAATAGAGAGGCAGCAGTTACAGGTTATAAGTCCTTGTCAAGTATGGAATGGATTTTGCAGTTTAGAATTAACTGTTTGGATCAGTAGAGAGTCCAGCTGGAGGAAATGGCAGAATATTATCCACACGATTGTCTACATCAAGCGGTTCTATCACCATTGTTACTACATATGCACTTACTCTACGTTAGCGGAGGATGTGAAGTGAAAGAACTTCATAAATCTGACGGCATCTACATACTTGATGATTTAAATGCTCGCGTGAGTTGCGATTCAGCTCATGGACAGTTTGCACTGGAAAAAATAATGAGGTCACATAAATGAAAATTGACATAGTTTATCGGGATTCTGCACTAGAAGTGACCTGTGCATCATAAAATTTTTTTTTTTTCAAAACTAAAGACCGTAATAAGGGGCCGCTACGAAATTAAAGACCACGAAAAATGTTCTGAGTTCCAACAACAGCTGATATCCATGATTACACCACAGTAAGCTTAAAATTTAATACAGTTAAGAAGACGGAACAATCTTCACGTCCTTTTCAGGATAAATTTTTTTAATTGAAGCCCCACTCTGGCTTTTGCCAGGGGCCGCAATATAGGCAGGCCATAAATATGGCCAATTGTCTGAACGCGGTTTCTGAGACCTCTCCACGGTGATCCTCATCCACATGGTGGTACTTTGTGCCATCGGGTGTTTATCGCTTGTGTGATGTCCTAGAGGGGTAGAGAGTCAGTCAAGAGACCGGAAAACCGGTGCAATATTTTATTATGGGATTAGAGAACATAGAAGTAAGGACTGGGTTGAAGTAAATAGACAGACACGCCAACCTTTAACTGACAGCAAAAAGTTAAGTAATTACCAGAAACAAAACAAGGAACATTCTGTGAATTGATGTAAGCTAGGAAACATTTGCAAAAGGTAGCTAGACAGTCTGCCAACCACTACTGGATCCAGGGAAAGGGGGGGAGGGGAGCTTTGTAACCGACTGAAAAGGTTATTTTAACACACTGTCTGTGTGTAAATATATGTTCAGCCACACTTTTAATGTACTGATCGAGTACTTGCTAATAGTGCGTTGGGAACCCCGAATGAAAGAGGAAGATAACGAGACTGTCGTACTTTAGCATATTTTATTATCTGTAACAAGAACTTTGTCACTTATATTTTTTTTAATGCCTGTCCTCTGTTGAGAAAATGTGTATAATGTTCAAAAGAATAGAAAATTCGATTTTAATCTTCTACAATAAATATTCGATAGCAGACACTCAGTAAATCAAAACAATGTCTGCACCACTCATACAATGGAATGATAACCAATTATCCTTTTTTTTTTTAAATATTGGTTGGGTATTTCAATAACTATCAATGAGTTTGAAATGTGAAGCCGTCCATTCCCCGCCTAAAGCCACTGAAACAGTTTTAATCATGATTACGAGGACCGTTTTCCCTAAAAGATTGACACCCCATCGTTTAACCCCATCGGGAAATCACACCGAGCGATACACACCGGGTGACAGAAAGTGCCACCATTCGGATGAGGATCAACTTGGGACAGGTCCCTTAAACCCCGTCCAACATATTGGTTGGGTTATATTAGGGCCCCCGGCAACAGCTAAAGTGGGATTTCAAAATAAAGAACCACAGCGCCCCAAATGGGGAGGGAGGAGGTTGAACCCTGTCGGCCGAAGAATTGCGTACTTAAATAGCACCAAACAGAAACAGTATTAGTAATCTGGTAATCTTAGTTTCAGCTTCATAGCAAACGGGCAAACCCATAGTTGCTCCGTTCCTGTGCCAACGAAAAAACGCACAGAATGTTTATCACAGTCCCTTGTGGAAAGATTGACACTAGCATGCAAACGCATTAAAAGCATACGGCACATACGTAGCCATCCGAAATGCTAACACAAACAGTTCATCATGGATGGTAGCACTGGCAGAAGTCACCAACAGATCAGCAGTTGCACACGCGATCAATTTTAATCACATATTGGCACCACATATTGACAACCAGCGTCGCGCCATTTTCTGAATCTACAGTTCACACCATCGCGTTGGTCACAGTCGAAAAACATTCAAAATGGCATCAGCAGCTCACAGTGTCACGCCATGCACTCAACTCAGAAGTTGGGCAACGAAACTTTATCCTTTCAGCCTACAAATGGAGCAAAAATGCAACAGCCCCCGTCTGGCAGAAGCAGAAAATTTGCCACGGCTCAAAACAGTGGCCGTGCCTGGCGTATATTCTGACTGGGTATCAAAACAATATTAGTGCCACAGTAGTCCCCATGTGGGATGCAATATTTAGTTATTTTGCCGGGTACTCTGAATATAGCCTAACAGCTGAAAGGGGTTTCTGGGACCTCTCCAAGTGTGATCCTCATCCGCATAGTGGCACATTATGTCACCGGGTGTATATCTCTTGTGTGATGTCCTGGTGGGGTACGAGAGAGAGAGAGAGAGAGAGAGAGAGAGAGAGAGAGAGAGAGAGAGAGAGAGAGAGAGAGAGAGAGCGAGAGAGAGAGAGAGAGAGAACAATATTAGATACTCAGTTCTTCTTCTAAGCGTTCAAAGGCTGTAAATTCTAACAGAGAGCTCTAGTTGTTCGTCCACTTCTGGACTTTGGTAATGTTCGAAAACTTTAGTTTTGAGTGCACACAGTGCTTACATATCTGGCTTAGTTGTGTGCAGACTGTTGGTTACTCACCTGTCAGGCAAAAGCCACTCCGACGTCGTAGAAAAATCCTTAATTAGTCACTTTTTCCGAGATGATTATTAAAAGAGTAGGCATCTGTGGCTTAGGCGTTGCGTACGGCTTCGTTATCATGAGATACCCATTTGATACCAGTTACGGGCGATTTGCAAACAGAGCGCTTTGCGTTAATTTCGATAATGGTATATAGAGTTGCTGAGGAAGATCAGGACAGGCATACATCGTGCAGAGTGGCATGCTTCGCTGCGGAGGAGACGAGTGTGGAGTATTATCTGGATTTTTTTCACCAGGGTACGCCGGTGTGTTGTGAAATGAACAGGCGGACAGCCTGGCTGGCTCTGCACAAGTTGATGGAATACTGATACATGATAAGGCAGACGTGGTTAGTGTCTTGTTGGAGAGCGTGTACAGTTAGGAAGAGCAGATGGTTCACCAAAGTCTGATGAGATTGATGCAGAAAGGAGTGGGAAAAGGGGGGGGGGGGGGTTGTTGACGAGAGGGTCTGGCAAATGCTTGAGGCTCAGAGGAAAGGCAAGACGGACGTTTAATCAGAATGCTATTGGCACCAATAATATTGGAACTCATCCCTGGCTGCTAAAGATGGGAACGGAGCGCTTCTGGGAATGTAACGTGTGCTGTGGTGTCGGTTCTTAAATCAAATGAAATGAAAGAGTTGACCTTTTAGAAAGTAATGGCAAACTGCCGAACGTAATATTGCCTTAAAGAGACACATTTAGAGATATACAGAAGCACTCCTGAGGCGTAGCGAAGGATTACAGTCTCAGATTATCCCATACAAATGTCTTGTTACGAAGAAGTCAGGGTGTTATGTTTATGATGGATTTATTTGTCTATGTGGCCCACAACCAGTTTGGTTTTTGTAAATTCGGCCCACGGATTTAAAAAAAAAAGGTTTTAGCCCTTGACCTAACGACTTCTTTAACATATCTTCCATTTGCTGTCATTAGGATACCCTAGAACTAATGTGTTGATTTGCTTCAGGCTTGTCCCATTTACCCTAACGTTGCATTTTAGAGGTTGTTTAATATGACCACTCCTCGCACTCACCAGTCTAAGCCATTTTTTTATGTGACTTTCTGTTACAAGCATTGCCTTTTTTTCTTGTCGTTGTATTTAATTTTCAACGTTTACAGAAGTTAAAGATAAGCTAAATCAAACGAATTCTGACATTTCTCGTCACAATAGTGGTTGTCATTGGGGCCAGGAGGCGGGTCCAAGTCGGCATGTTTTCCGATGGAAGGCAATATGTCGCCGCTGAGAATCAAATTGTAACGACAAAGATAACATATCGTCGCACTTTACCAAACAGGGACGTCATCACCAAAGAGGGTATACTGTAAAAAATAAATGAAACGATGAATGTTAAATTAAAGTTTGCTACAAAATAAATATAACTGGTTACGACCGCAACAATCATTACTTCTAATCTAACCGTACTCACTCAAACTGGCAAACCCCGCCCCACTTGCAGCTATACCATTCGTACACCAAATTCAATTTCCAAAATTTAAATATTTAATTTATTATAAGGACTATTATATAGGCCTAATGGAGAATTCTATTCCCAGCAGATCGCGAGGCCCTGGTCGGTAGTTTGTTTAACCTATGCATGAGCCACGCACTACTGTCTGGGCTAAACTCAGCATTTAAATTTAACAAAAGTCATCTTTATCAGTCACACGTCACAATGAAGATTTGAGGCCTGGGTACGAGGTTTGCTTATCGCGTGCAGATGTATAATACTGTCGTGTGTTGAGTTTAGCTAAAAGAGGGGGGGGGGGGGGGGAGTTAATTTTAAGAGCTACTGGATGTAAATTTGCCTTAAAAAACCACAACAGCCAAAACATGCTAGTGTTGGTTCTGCAATGTCCCGAAAAGGATACGCGACTAACTTAATTTTAAACGAATACTAGATGTATTATAAAACAGAATCACGTGTCCATTCTTGAGATATTTTTGAAGAACTAGCGAATATAGACCGTTTTCACATGCAGCCACCTGGCTGTGTATGGCTACAGTCTGCACAAATTAGAACGTTAATATAAAACCATTACACGTTGATATGGGTATGCTGTTGGCAGTTAGAATTGTTGCTATCATTTTTACGTGACATATTCACAGACATAACAAAAAAGCCTTTATAACCTCCAGTAATATATATATATATATATATATATATATATATATATATATATATATATATATATATATATATATATATATATTCTAATATTTGTTACTTTTTTGAGTCCATAATTATTATTGATGATTCAATGGACTATCACAACAGCTGCAAAAATGATTTATCTCCTTCTAAATAGCTCCACTAGTCTAAAATGACTGATCACAATCATTTTGTGTTAATTAATCAAATGACTTATTCTCTTAGTGAACTGTTCATTTCTGAAACTATAATCGCACCGCCCCACCCCTCCAAATACACAATAAATGTAGCAGGAAGCTGATATTCACAAGAGAATCATTATTTAAAAAACGAAGACACTGAAACTAGCTGGTTCACTGGTGTAGTGACCACCATTGAAAATGATTATTAAGGTAGTGATTTTATGAACTTATAATAAAGGTACAGAGAACAGTTTTTAACAAAATATTTACTTATCTGTATGTCTTTCCTTTTGTTAAGCTTCCTAATTACCTTTTGTGTTTGTGAAGTCATTTCTAATATATAATCCAGTTTTGTATTATATTTAACTATTTGATATCTCCTAAGTCTTTCTAGGTTGCGGTTGGGATGTTTGGTATCAGCTATTATAATTATTATTTCAGTTGTAGTTTTTGTTTGTTTATTCACATCTTCAGTTATGATTTTCATTAAAGTATCCAGGACCCTCACTGCCACCACATACACCTACACACAAGCTGTGTATTGTTTTACTGCTACTGTCACATACAGTGTATGTTACACAATGTGTGTTTATAAAACTTTTAATTAAACTACTTAAATTATGGTTATTTTATTTCACAAGCGTTATTCCCTTGTAAAGTTTCATTTTTCTTATAATACTACATTTCTTAATCATTATTATTATTTCTCTAGTGGGCTGTCTTTAAAATAAAATAAAAAAATTGGTTTTAGGCTTCAGAATGGAAACTATTCATTGGCTACTGAGTAAGGGGATAGACCAGATGTGGGAATGTCCTGAATGCAGTGATGTCAAATAATTTATTCATTCATTGTTGTAGGCTTATTCTACTGTTTATACCAAGGCGAGGCCACTTTTGTTTTCTCTTCCAAAGCCACTTGGTTATTTAAAATGCCATTCACACGCATACAAAATCATCAACATAACATTTTCCTGCCATATTAGGTCAGCCATTTAATTGTTATTGCCTTGGTAAGGTCGGACCAAATGATTTTGCAGGCTTTACACAGTCCATGGGCTGGAAATTCTCCATCTTTGGTTTATACTTTTTTTTAGAGGAACATTGGGACCTCCCCCCTCCCCAAGGTAAATACTGCCAAGGTTTCTGGGAAGACAAAATAGGTGAAATAATATTGACCATATCACCCGATTAGTGTAGACTTAACTATACAAATATTAGTCCAGCTTTATCAGCTGAGTATGCCAGTGCTTTGCGATGAGGAAAACAGTCATTTTTTAATTATATTATTAAAGTGCTGTCTTCAGCAGATTAGCTTTACCATATTTCATATACTCAGTTCTTTTTAAGTCATTGGTTTGTTGGCTTTTGTGACACTTTTGCATCATTGAAAGTTGATTACACTCATAATTTGTTTCTTTCTAGACGCTTTGTACAAGAATTAAATAATATCCTTGGTTGAGGAGCACAACAGCAATGGCATCAAGAACAGCATTACTAGCAAGCAGACTGTTTAACTGTAGTAAAGAGGTAATTGAAAGGAAGTTACATTTATTTATTTTTATGGAAAGGACATAGATGGTTCTAATGAAAAAAAAAAAAAAAAAAAATATATATATATATATATATATATATATATATATATATATATATATATATATATATATATATATATATATATATATATATATATATATATATATATATATTTTTTGTTATTGCTTGTGTTAATGTGTTTTGTTAACTGTTTTTTTGTTTGTTAACGTTGTCAGTTGTTAACTTTGCTGATTTATTTTCCTGAACACCCAATCCATAGGGAAGCAGTCTTCTTGCTTCTTCTTCTTTTTTCGTTCGCTTGAAATGGATTATCTGTATCTGCAGATTATCTATATCTGCAATGTTGTCTCCAGTATAAAACTACCTTGTAAACATTGAATGTCCCAATTAAACTATTTTATACGGGTAAATGGTTGAACATAGTTTCAAGGATTTACTCCTGTTAAATTTGCATTCATTTAATGGTCCCTTGGGTCACTGGGATTTTATCTTTCACACTGAAATCCTGGAGGAAAACAACATCTTCTTGTCTCTTGGTGGTTAAACATTGCTAGTAGTCTCCTACCAAGTTTGTGCAGTCCTTTCCCTGCTGTATTAGATCTCGGTTTATTTGAATTTTATTTCTAGAAAAAAAAATTTATTGATCATGCCAAACAGGTCTCCAGGGTCTTCTTTGTGTAACAAGTTTCCCATCGTCACAGGTAATTTACAGAGATTCATAGTCAGTTACTGGTTTTCTTTGGAGTTCAGATTTCTTACACTCCAGCAAGAAGTATTCTATATTATTGTACTTCTGACATAAATCATAGGTTTCTTTATATATGTGTTAGCAGTACCAGCATTTTTAAATATGATTAAATAGTAGATAGATATCATTGCCATTATCTGTACAGGACAATCACATGGAGAAATTTCTTTAAATTAGACAGTAGTTTGTCATTTTAGGAAGACATGTTTTAAATTCTAATGTAGAAGAAATTAATATTAGTAATTTCCTGTGTCTTAAAAATTTCTTTCCGTTCATCTTCCATTTCAGGTAGGGTTGTTTCATCCTAGAGACATCGCTAATGCTGGAAAGTTCTTTAGTTCCTCGACTGCTTATCGACGGTTAGATATTTCAGGAATATATCCTCCAATTCCTACACCTTTCAATGAAGATGAAAGTATCGCATATGATAAGCTGGAATTCAACATGAAAAAATGGAACAAAATCCCATTCAAAGGCAGGTTTGTTTTCTTATATGAAATTAAACATTTGAAACACTATATGCAGTGAAATATGTGAACCAGAGATGTCCGCTTTGTAGATCACAATCTACTAGTCGACCGGCAAGCTGTGAGAGGGGTCTGTGTCATAGTGTCTTTTTTAATTTCAGAAATCACTAGTGGTCTGTTTTATTGACTTTAAATTAGACAGCCGGTAGTATCTTATTACAGTAGAACCTCGCTTAACAAGCACCTCTCTTAATGAGTATTTCGCATAACGGGCAAAACAAATTGTAAAAAAAAATGACTTGCTTAACGAGCGATGTTTCGCATAACGAGTGGTGAGGAGAGGGGAAGTCCCGAATTGTGCGCATGTTAGATTAGGTTGTGTTTAGCACTCGTTCCAGTAGCATCGTAGTGTCGCTTGTAATCATACATTTTCTAAAACTTGTGTTATATTGTGACACGTGTACATGAATCCTCTAGGCCTACAAGATGACCTCCTGGAAGAATTTAAGCTCATCAAGATCCAGTTTCTGCCTCCCAACACCACTCTGTTACTCCAGCCCACTGACCAGCAAGTTATTTCTAGGTTTAAGAAGCTCTACACTAAAGCACTCTTCGAGCATTGTTTTCTGGTGACTGATGGGACCAACCTCACTCTCAAAGTTTTGGAAAAATCACTTCCACATCGTTGTCTGCCTCAAGATGATCGACTAGGCAGGGGAAGGGGTTACCGAGAGAACCCTAACTTCTGCTGGGAAGAAGCTTTGGCCGGAGAGCGTTGTCGATTTGTGACCTTGAGGGGTTCGAGACAGTACCTGTGGAACATGTAGTCAACGAGATTGTGTCTTTGGCCACTATCATGGGATTGTAGGCGGATAACAGGGATATCGAAGAGCTTGTGGAAGAGCACAGCCAAGAGCTAACCACCCAAGAGCTTATAGAGTTGCATGGTGTTTCACAGCAAGAAGTTTTGGAGGAAAGTTTGTCAGAGGAGGACGAGGAGGTAACAGAAGAGCAACAATCTACTGGCAAAATAAGAGAAATGCTGAAAGCATGGAAAACTGTTGCATCTTACACTGAAAAGCGTCATCCTAATAAGGAAGTAGCTATGCGCGCTGAAAATTTATTTCATAATGCTGTGTCTAATTTTTGCCAAATTTTGAAATGTCGGCAAAAACAAATGTCTCAAGACATCTTTCTAGTAAAAAAAATAATTAGGTATGTATCGTAATTTTTTCGACTTTTTTTCCTGCAAATCGAATTCGCATTCTAGGTGGCTTTGTTCCGTGTTTGAAGAAAAGATAAAGATGATTCACTCTCCTTAACAATATGTATATAATTTTCTTTGAATAAACGTTATAAATAGCATTTTGTGAGTAATTTTTTCGACATGGAACGCATTATCGTATTTTACATTAATTTATATGAGAAAAATTGTTTCGCATAACGAGTGTTTCGCTTAACGAGTATGATTCTGTACTTCCTACTCATTGTTGATATCAACATCATAGCACATCCATACAGCAGCCATCTTAGTGTCTTCATGGTCATCATACCGAGTTGTTTATTAGCATAACGGTTTTCTTTGCCCCAAATTGGTTTCTGCATGCTTGTCCTAATATAATACCCATTTCCAACAGGTGGTTCATCATCTCTGACTCTTTTGTCTCAAGATCTGTGGAATGCAGTGCATTCAGTGTCTGCCCTGTTCATACTTCTTCTTCCACTATTTACTGCAGACACTGTCAATCTGATGGCTCATTCATTTCTGTTCACCAAAGGTAGTTTCTTGCAGATGCTGTCAACCCATTTTAGTTGGAGTTTGACAGCTTGGATCTTCTTAAGCATGCTCATTCAGTCTGTTACTATCATCCCTGTGTGGGTTCTGGGATTCCATTTATGGGGGAAAAACACAATAGACCACTACCTCCCTAACAAGCTGTAGTAGAGTTGACTAATTAAAGGTTTCCTTCGAAGTCAGAGTGCATCTGCCTGAGAGGTGAGGTACCAGCAATTTTCATTTAACTAAACCAGATCTGTAAAACTGATCCTGGAACAAAACTAAAGTCTTTTAGTGGACGAATAACTAGAACTTTCCGCTGGAGTTTATGCAAAGAGGACGTACTATGATGTCAGTATTGTATAACAAAGTCTTATAATAAATTTTTTTTTTTTGTGTTTTCTTTTTCCTAACAGGATATGTTGTTCAAGGCTCAACTGGAGAATGTTGTTTTCTGAATATGGATGAACGAATACAAGTGGTGAAAGAAGTGGTTAGACTTGCTGGCCCAGACAAATTGGTCATAGCAGGGTCTGGATGTGAATGTAAAGTTGTGATTTGTTTAATTTTATAATTATGTTATGACTGGTTCTAATGAGCTGTCTAATTGTTAACTCATTCATCATCATCAAAAACTGTCATCAAAAATATACATTCAATTTACAAGCAGTTTGTCTTATGACCTGTTAGTGCAGTGGCTCTCAACCTTCCTAACGAGGTGACCCTTTAATACAGTTCCTCATGTTGTGGCAACCCCCAACCATACAATTATTTTAGTTACTACTTTATAACTTCACTGAAAATATGTTTCCCGATGATCTTTGGTGACTCCTGTGAAAAGGTCATTCGACCCACAAAAGGTTCATGACCCACAGGTTTAGGACCACTGTGTTAGTGGAAACTACGACTTAATGGTCGTAAGTTGAAGAGAACTGCTGCTAGAAAGAATTGTACATCATCCTGAAGTAGTAGGACCTCTGCAGAATGTAACTCCACAGCATACCACAAATCCACTCAGGACCTACTGCACACATAAAACTAAATGACCCATTTACACATCGTGAGACGTATTAGACAGTTAAAGCTAGCCTTGTATCTTTATATTTGTCTAAAATGAGTAGTTTTATTTGTATTTTTTTAATCTTGAAAGAAAATGCAACAGAAAGTGGAACTAATCATTACCCTTTATAAGGTCATCATAGAAACAGGCCAGGAACCTGGCCAATTTAAATAGGAATGATGTTTCTTTCAAAGTTGGAGTGCATCTGTCTAAGAGGCTAGAAACCAACAATCTGCACACAAATATGCCAATCTGTAAAACGGACTTACACTCAATCACTCAAGTCCTGGAATAAAACACAAATCTGGAAACGGAAAAACAACCATGACTTTCTACTGTAGTTACAACTCCTGAATGTGAAGAAGAAGAAAGAAGAATCATCATCAAATGTCTTGCAGACAGGCATAGGTGATCATGCCTCTCCACATCTTGCGATCTTCAAAAGTTCATGTGTTTACACCCTTTTGTACCAAGAGGGATTTACAATCAGACAGTTACTGGTGCCATTGGAATTGGAACTCTTCATTTTCTGCTGAAGATGGGGACAGAGCGCTTATGGGCATGCCCCGAGTGCTATGAATTCTTAATTCAGCATTCAAAATTCAACCCTTCTGTAATATGACCAAAGGCTGTCAAGAATCTACACTTGTCTTCCTCTGTCTCTCTGCTCATAAATCTTTCCAGCTGTCACATGTTTCAGTTACTTTGAAACAAAGAAAAAAAAAATTAATACTACCTTTAAGTTGTCTTTGAGTCTTAGTCTCCTTGAAAATGTAAGGATTACTCATTTTTACATCTAAGAAATGTGAAACATTCTTTTGTGAACCTATCTTTGGACCTTAGGAAATTTTTTGGCTTGCTTACTAATTGTCCATGTTTCACAGCCATGTTTTAAAATTGATTCTATGAAGATTGCAAGTATTGTATTATTTCTTGGGATCTAATGTGTAAGACGTTCTTCATTCTGTGAAATACAGTTGTTGCCTATCTTATTCTGTTCTTTAACTTTTTTAAATACACCATTCCATCTGGTGTTATCCATGTGACTAGATACTTAATCTTCTGTCCTTGTCTCAAAAGAACACGACTAACTGCAAAATGAATACAACATTCCTTCTTCTTCTTTTTAAAATTTAATATTATGCTACATGTGAGCTTAACAGCCATCCTTGTATGAAATATGCGTTCATGCATTTTAGCTACAAGAGAAACAATATGGTTGTCTCAGAAAGTGGCAGAAGTTGGAGCTAAAGCTGTCATGGTTGTTAACCCATACTATTTCAAAACTAATATGAACCAGGCAGCATTTCTTGCTCACTATACAAAGGTAAGTCCTCTATGTTAATCTTAGTAATCCTTAGAAAATAATAGTTACTAATGAGTTAATTTTAAATGAATTTTAGTAATAAATGTGTAAATATGTAGCTATTATAAAAAAGGCAACACGATGAGTTTAGTTGACATCACCATATCAGGAAACTTTCTGTAACAGTCAGGTGGACTTTTCCTCAATTAGATACATGGACAACTCTTTCCATTTAATGTTTAAGAATTTGAAAACAAGAAAAAGAAGATGAATTAAAAGAAGAAGAAGTTGAAGAAGAAACAGAAGAAGAAGGAAAACAAGAAGAAGTGAAAGGAAAATAAAAAGGAGTGAAAGAAAAAGAAAAACAAAGATGCAGAAGAAGAAGGAGAAGAAGCAGAGGGAGGAGGAAAATAAGATAACCTGTGACAAGTGTTACTGATCAGCATGACAATTCTACTGTATAATTTACTTAAATAATATGTATGTATGTAAGTATGGATGGATGGATGGGTGGGTGGATGTGTGTATGTGTCTGTGTGCGTGTGTATGTGCGCACGCGCGTGCGCATTCATGCGTGTCTGTGTGTGTCTGTCTGTCATTCATTTTTCTTCCTGCTGTTTGTCATTTTAGACCTATTTTCGTTTTAATGATTAAAAATATGAAATACATTCTCAGAATATTCTCAATGTTTGTTTCCACTAGGTCGCAGATCAGAGTCCAATCCCCATTATTTTATACAATATTCCAAGCAACACTGGAATTGACATTCCACCTGAAGTTGTCATCAAACTAGCAAAGCATCCAAACATCATTGGAATGAAGGACAGTGGTGGTGATGTGAGTTTTTAAATATGCTGTCTGTACTATTTTTGATTTTACTGCTGAAGATGGCAAAAGAATTGTAAACCTGAGTAACAATATCGGATTTTTACTGCTGTCTTTACTGTACTGCCTATATTTACCACTTTTTAAGGACTGTGTAGGATTTGGGGGGAGGGAGTTAAGTTGAGTCTGAAGATTATGGCTGCATAGCTACTGCAGTCACCATTGACTCTGTAGGTAAGAATTTTAATTTTGTCTCCAACAATAAAAAATCCATCACTTATCAAGGATTCAAATCTCGATCTCCCAAATGATAGCCCACTGCTCTTAACCATGCAACCAGCCACTCCCTGTTTTATTTCTGGAGGTGGCACAAGACTCTTAAACCTGAATGACAATGTTTGATTTACTGTGGTGTTGTATTTTCATTTGAGGAGGGTTTTTTAAATGCTGGATAAAGAAGCAAAGAAATACAGATTAAGTAGTAAAAAACATATATTAAAAAAAAAACATTTTAAAAAGTGGAGAAATTAGCATGGAATTAAAGCTTGAAAAGAAGACATAATATACCAATTTCTCTAGCTAGAACATTCTTATTTTTCTTTTGTCACCAATTGCAGCAAATACTCTTAATTAATTCACACCATTTAGCCCTCTTTATTGCTGTTTCTTGCAGCTCACTTCATGTCCTCCCGATTTAATTCACCTCTATCTCTAATCCTTTGTGTTTTTAGGTCTAAGAAATTGCCTTATGTAGCACATTATCTTTTTTCTCCCCTTTATGGGAATTTGTTTACTTCTGTCCCTAAGCTCCAAATAAGTCATTCTGTCATCCCATTTAATTCTAATTAATTAGCACAAACACTAGTTAAAGAATATTTGTGGTTAATTAGTAAATGTTTGAATAGTTCTACATGTTTCTTATGCACAAGACGGTGCTAATTTTATATTAAAGTTAAATCTTAGTTTGCTTTTGAATAACATTTTTATATATGTACTGATTCGGAACCTATCACAAACTTGCCCACACGGCAAGAGATCTTTCCCCTCCCATTCATGCTGTGATCTGTCTCACCACCTGTCCTACATTATGGGGGTGTTATGAGATGGTTTTGTTCCCCGTATATAATGTTTGTTGGAGCTTGTGTTGTCGTGAGTCTTTTTGAGGCGCCACAGGCACCTGTATAAAGTAAAAAGTACTGCAGGGGAGAAGACCCAAAAGCGTGACTGTGTGAGTATCGAGACTGGGATGTTTTTGTATTTCTACATTTCCTAGCGGTGTCCCCCCCCCCCCCCCCCCCCCCAAAGAAAAAGAAGCAGCTGACAAGGAAGGAAGAAATACAAAAACACCAGTTTCAATACTCATGAACCATCAGGCAAGTATGACAACATGGAAATAATCACGCACATGAGTGGTGAGAATACGGGAAACGAGAGAACAATTAAACCGTTGAAAATAACGAATACATGACCCCCTACAACATAGGACAGGTCATGGGACTAGTCATGGTATGAATGAGAGGAGAAGGAACTCTTGCTGTACGGGTTAGTTCGTGATAAGTAGCACTGATTCTAGTCTTTATTTGTATATTTGATAAATAATATAGTAATGTGATGTGCATTTCTGTTTTCAATAATAGATATATTGCTTCAAGTATTAACTTAATTATATATATATATATATAAATATATATATACATTGAAACATTTCTTTGAATCTGTTACTGTTATCAGAAATTGCAACTAATTCTCAGTAATGTTAGCATCTATTGTTTAGGAGTTAGGAGTTTAGGAGTCCATAACTCTGAAATACCTGGCTCAATTTAGCTGCAGCATGTTTGGTAACAGACCGCTTCATGTTGATTTCAACAACAGAATGGAGTGTTGTCTGCCAAGAAAACAATGGCAGACTACTGAACATAATAAAATCACAAGCAGCCAACATATGAGGTGTTGACTGCAATATTCTGTAAAGGATATGCAACAAACTGTTTTTCTCATCAACAGATTGTACGTATAGCTGCTCTTGTGTTTGCCACTGCCTCTGATGATTTCCAGATTTTATCGGGTTCGGCAGGGTTTCTCTTGCCAGCGTATGCTGTTGGTAAGCCACTTTCTTTAACCATATTGCATGCTTCAGTATCAAGAAGGCCTTACTAACTTGTTATAAATCTTGGTTCCTGAAAATAAGACTTGCCTGGATCTGAACAGTTTCATACAATTATACTATAACACAAAGTGAGTTACATTAAATATTGGTATAGTAGTTTGGATGCTTCCATGGCGAAGTGGTCAAGTGGCTTCATTTCACAATGGCACCTTTTGATTCGTGAGTACAATTTTTACATAGACTCTGGGGGATCATTATTTGAGATACCGAGTTCATGCTTTGTGCCACTAGCCATTTTGAAAAGAGAGACCAAGCCATACAAGATGAAACTTAATGCAATGAAATTGATCCTCTGGACTGTAACCTCTACCTGTATTGGTATAGTAACTTGACTCTTTCAGTCCCACGGGGTTTAGCATCAGATGCCCAAGGGATAGAACAGAGGGTTGGGAAAAAATCTTTCTCAATGCAGATTGGAACCCAAGTCCTTCAGGCTGGCAAGTAAGCATCTAGTGACTATGCAGCTGCAGATCCAAAGAGAATGGTAAGGGAAAGGGTTATGTACACATTCAAGATATGTTTATTGGATCTTTATGTGTTAAGATATAATAGATTTTGCAAACTAGAAAATCAGGAATGACAATTTAGAGTTCCAAGTTAGTGAAAATTCAGGGAAAAAAAAAATTATCAAGCATAAAATGTATGCACATTAACTTGGAAGTCCAAAATTAAATACAAGTTAAACTGGAAGTAATAGTTATTTACTGTTGGTATATTTTCTGCCAATTAACCAATTAATTTGGTATATATTTTGCTACATTTAGCAACAACATATTGAAGTTCTTCTTATATTTAGGCTGTGTTGGTGGTATATGTGGACTGGCAAACATGCTTGGTGAAGAAGTTTGCAAACTGTCAGAGTTATCAAAGTCTTCAGATATAAAAGCAGCCAGAGAACTTCAGCTGAGAATTGTTGGACCAAATGCTTGTGTAAGTTAAACAAACCTTACTTAGAGCAGCAGGAATGGCAAGACCTGTCAACTTATTTTGTATTATTCTGAAATGGCATGTTTTATCTTATGAATTTGATTTTATCCTTGCCAGAATTGTATTTAATTTAGCAATTATACATTCCATAAAATACTTATTTGTCAGATCCTTAATGTGTTTTGTATCTCATAAAGAATGTCTTGCTATTTGATACATGTATTAAATCATTTCTGTGTCAGTAAATGATTATATATTTAGTAAGGAAAAGCAAACTAGCAACTGTCTTTAAAAATGACAGAAAGAAAAGGTGCATACTGTTTGATCTGTATTTTTTAATAATAAAAAAAAAATATATCAGCCTCAGAAGTTTTAATCAAGCAAAACCTTTGGCCAAGAGAAACACCAGTGCAAGCCAAACTTCACAGGTCACTGACTGAATTACAAAAGACAGTGAAGTTCATACTAGAGACAACACTGCAGATTTAGATAATCTTTTTCAAGGGAACAAAAGAAGAAGAAAAAGCACTTTTAATTGCATACTTTCTAACAGCATAACTGCACATGAAACAATAACACTATCTAATTTCGCAACACCTTTCTCGTTTCAGGTTACCCGGCGTTTTGGGGTGCCAGGGATGAAAGCTTCAATGGACTGGTTTGGCTACTATGGTGGACCTCTTCGGTCACCACTTTTGTCTCTTTCATCCAGTGAAGAAGAGGTAGTTAAACAGGCCTTCCAAAAGTCTAATTTTCTGTAAAAATAGCCATGGCAATGAGAATGGCTAACGCACAGATTGGTGATATTGTTGCGTGGCTCAAGCTGAAATTTTTCAGAGTATTTTATATTTATACTAGTCATTAAACATTTTTAATTATAGGAAAATGCTTTGCTTATGTTACAGCACTGAGAATGTTGATTGGCTTTAAACAGTAGGAATATATTTACATACCCTGATCGTACATCATTTGTCTTATGGCTTTTGTTTAAAATTAATTGAGTTGAATTAAAAACCAACATTTCCATGTGTGGTCTGTCCTCATCTTCAGCAGCCAGTGCAGAGTTAACATTCTGATGGTACTTAAAGTTTTTTGAGGCAGTAGCAATTTTTTAGTATATTATTACTATTATCATGGTTGATGTCAGGATCTTTACAGCTAGTTTGCCATTGAGTTTGACCCCTGAGATCTTATGACATAAATCATATTCTAATTTACTTACCTGACTAGACCAGTTTTTCCATTATGGTAATGTATTATAGAAGTTGAATGTAAAAAATTGTATTAATACAGTAAATTAAACTCAACTTGCAATTGAAGTCTTTGTGAAATCGGGTCATCAATAAAACATTCTTGATATTTACTAAAACTAACAGAACATTCAAGTGTGATTTTTTATGTGACAGTATCTGTTAATATGCTGGCATTGTCTGAATTTTCTTGCCCACATTTTAATATGATTTTAAGTCATTTTCACAGACTTACAAAAATGATACAGACTTTCAGTTTTTAGTGAAAGTTCTATGTACGAGTTTCTGTAAGCTTTGATTCTGATACATTTTTTGAATTAATTGTAGGTTTAGTTATCTTATGTCTGTAAAATGATTTTTATTGATAATTCAATCATAAATAAGCTTCAAATAAATATTTACATATTTTTAATGTATGTTAACAGTGTGATGTAACAACAGGAGCTTTTGGATTTCTTTATGTTAAATAATAAAAGACATGTTAATAAATGAAAATACTTTGTATTAAGATAATAATTAAAGTGACATAGCACTTTATTTAAAAAAAATGCTGAAATGAGAATGGGAAGCAAGACAGTATTAAATATACACAGGCAACATCAAAAGAAAACCCGTCTGAGTCAAGGAGTCTTATACATGACTGAATATTTGGAGATTTCTAACTTCTGACCATTAATGTGGAGACAACACTTATGTGTGTGGCTTGGGACTTTAAAGATATGTTCATCTCACAACTAATTGTAGCTTAGTCTTTCATGATTTGTACCTTGCTTTGCTTTATGCGTAGACAGTTTTATAAAAAGTGCATATTTTTCAAGCTAGATTGATTCTTCTACTGCTAACATATGACATTATGACATGTTCATTATTTTTATAAGTTTCTATAAATTGTAATCAAATGGTTTAGTTGTTGGCATTAATGGCATTTAAAGTCCTCATCTAGTATCCATTGATTTCAAGGGTGTGAGAGTGGTATCTGACTGCAGAAACTGAGTGGAAGATCCAGAAGTTGAATACAACTGCTATAGGACAATTATGCTACAAAGATGTGGGAAGCACAAAAACAGATGTGTAAGAGGCAAAGCAACTACACATAGAGGTCACAAAGAACCAGTTTTGTCAGTGGTAAAAAGTCAAAACTAGCCTGGTTTGAGAATGTTACACATCATGACACCCTTTCAAAAGTAAAAGTTCTGAATACAGTGGAGGGAGAAGACTAAAGCAGAGAAAATCCTGGACTAATAACAGTGAGTGGGCACCTGTATGAGTTTCAGAAGAATGATTATGGATACTTATATTATGACAATGAAACTTATGCTTCCATCTTGACAGTCCTACAACCACTGTCAACATTTGTGATGGTGATAATATGAAACTCACAAGTTCTACTTCTCGTCTGGTTTGATATAGTTTCTGGGGTTACAAGATGAGAAGATAATGATGTTGACGACAGTCATTAATTGCAATGTTGCAGTCAGACTATTAGACTAATCATATATATATATATTTTTTAATTATTGTTTCTGTGTTATCCTGTTTTTATAACTATTTCATTTTAAATACTGTATGTGTCAACAAGTGTCTTCCAGAATTGTAGTGAAATTCCTGCTATTATAAAAGCATATTGTAATATTCAGGTCAATGTAATAAACAGTTTAATAACTGAATAGTGCCTAGTTATTTTGTTTGTATAGATACAGTTGTTGTATATTATATGAAAAAATAACACCCAGAATCTTCTTCTTCTGCATTCACCCTTCAAAGGGCGGTTGACATGTTATGTTTGGTTGGTTTTACAGCTAGGCTGTGATATCCGCACTTTTCTGGCCAACATATCCAACTTCAACAAGCCCTTTAGTTGCCTTTTACTACATTGTTGTTTGGGAGCAGTGTGTAAATTCAGCCTGCGCCCCCCTCCTTTCATAGGGGGGAACCCAGAACCCACACAGTGATAACATCCAGAGTTAAAATTAGTTTTTGAAATAACTATCTGGGAATGAAGTAGTTTACAGCAACATCTATCATCATCATGGAGTCACGTTGCGTAGAACAGGATATGCTTTACACAAGCATCTGTCTTTTTGTTAAGTTTGTCCACTGATCATGAATCAGTCCACTCTGCCAGTATCTTTACCAGTCTCCAACTTATTTAATTTTACTAGCTGTGATAACACTATTGCGGCGTCCGTGGCTAAGGCGTTGCGAGTCCGACTCGTAATCCAACGTACCGCGATCGAAACCCACTGCGGGCTGCGTGGATTTGTATCGTGGTATGGGACGTCGCAGGTCGACCCAGCCTCAAATGGGTACCAGGATGGGCTGTCCTGGGAAAGTAAAGACAGCCGGCGTAATGCTGACCACATTACCCACCGAGTGCTGATGGTCTGTAAAAATATGGGCGCTCTTCCCATTTGCCCGATACGCCTAAAGGCGTGGAAAGGATCATTACTTTTTTTTTTTTTATAACACTATTAGAGCAGTGAAATTCACACATCATAATGTCAGTTTTTATTTTTACATGATGAGTCAAAGTTTCTCTTGCAAGATGATTTATAATTTTTTTTTCTTAAATAATATTTTTGTGTCAAAAAATTTATGATTCAGCAGATAGTTTTGGAGCCTTCTTAATTTTATTTTCAGTTAAGTGAGGGATTTGTACTATCTACAAAATCCAAGGGGTTCCAAGACAACAGCCTTCTCACTTTATTTTATGAGGGTACTTTTCACTGTTCTAAACATTATTTGCAAGTGTACATTGTGGACCTTGTATAGTTTTCACAAGTTAGTTTTCAGCATGAGATTGAAGCATATTCCATAATATGCCTGTCTGCTCCAGTGTAAACTTTCCTTCATGTTCTCAAAAGCTGACTGTTCAAAAAGCAATGGCAAACTACTGAAAGTAAAATTACCTAGTGAATTCACAAACCGTCAATATATGCTGTGTTCAGTTCTGCAATGTCTACAAAGGACACAGAGCTAACTTAGGCCAGGCCCTTAGCCTTTGTTGGCAGTTGGTCTTAGATGGAAGCTCTGATAGGCAGACAGAGCACTGATTTTCTGATCCAACAGCTTCAGTAGCATGCTTTGTTCCAAACTCTTCGTTTTATCTTTCCTTTGAAATTAATAAGGCAGGCTGATGGGGAATTTCCTGTGTGGGTTTTGGGGTCCCATTGTGGTGGAAAAACAAGAATAGATAGACCCAATGCCTACCCAAAAGCATATTGGAAAGTAGACTAACTGCAAGCTTTCTTCAAAATCGGAGTACATTTGGCTGAGAGGCAAGGAACCAACAGTCTGCATACAAATGAGTCAGACCTGTATAACAGATGTGCATGCAACACTCAGTTTCTGGAACAGGACTAGAGTCTAGTAGGGGAGGAACAACAAGAAATCTCCGCTGGAGTTTACAGCCAGTGAAAAAAATACTTGGCCCAGTTATTGAATTTCAGCTCAGCGAACCACAAATGGGTTTCAGAAGAAATTAAAGCTATTTCCCCCCCCCCCTTAAATAGATCAGCGATAATCTAATAAATTACCTGCAGAAAGAAAACAACATACACATTTTCATCCGTCTATAATATAATATTTATTGTTCTGGCATGTGTCTTCATTTAACGGAATAATATAAGGCTAAATTGAGAGTATAATTTTATTTAAAGTAATACATTTGAAAAATAAAATTTTAATAATAATTAAAAAAAAAATAAAATAAAAAAAAATAAACAACATGGTATGATAATATATTAAATGGTGGGTTGCTGTCAGAAGCAAACTGTCATTGCAGTTTGCCATATTCTAGATTGCAGTTTATCATAAAAAATGTCTCATCTCATAATTCATTTAGTAATTTTGATAGGGGGAAAATTAGTATCAAGGCACTTTAGACAAAAAAGTTTGAGTTTCAACTGAACTGCCTACAGTGTTATTCTTTGAAAAAAAAAGCAAAAAAAAAACTTGAACGCTTCAAATCATTATTATATGATAAACCTGTAGCGTGTTGTTGCTTTTTAAACAAAAAATTAAATGAGTTATTTTTTTCTAAATTAAAAAAAAATGAGTCAAACCACACAATTTAGTAGTTCTACATAAACTGGTTCCACAAAAACGCTGCTATAACCATCATGCTGATAAAACAATCAGTGATAAAATAAATCCTTACTGAACAATTCAGTTCCAAAAAATTAAGCCACTATAAATATTTTTATTGAATTGGGTCAAAAACATACCTATTGTTTTTGCTATCAGTGGCAATGGGAAAGATATACTGCACGCAACAAACAGATCAGCATCACGTATTTTAAAAATAATTAACAATATCACCGCCCAATGAAAAAATAATAATGCATAAATTTACATAACGGCAATATGATTATAAAAGCAAAGGTAACTACTGTGAGCTTAACTAACCATCACCGTACAGAAATAAAATCATCAACGCACACATCTAGCAAGTACTGCATTTGGACACTTGTAGAAACTTACTCTGTAAGTCGAACAACACCAATGTCTTT